CTTTTCTTGAGCCTCTGCTTGTTCCCAGCTGCAACTAGGCTCTGGGATGCCGTGACAGGTAAGGGAGGAGTAGGTACTTCTCTCACAGAACTCAGTCTGCACTGAAATCCAAGGCTCACTGCACTGCAATTCCTAGGAAAAAGTAAGGTCTTTCTCTCCCCCAACCCCTTGTAGGCAATGGGGAGACATTGAAGGTTCTTGAGCAAGTATCTATTATCTGCTTCATGCTCGGTGCCAGTAGGCATAAGAAGAAATAGAAGTATGGTATAAGTCATTAAGAAAATTCACTCTAGGGCGCCTGGGTGGCTCAGTTGGTTAGGCAACTGCCTTCGGCTCAGGTCATGATCCTGGAGTCCCTGGATCGAGTCCCGCATCGAGTCCTGCATCGGGCTCCCTGCTCGGCAGGGAGTCTGCTTCTCCCTCTGGCCCTCCCCCCTCTCATGTGCTCTCTCTCATTCTCTCTCTCTCAAATAAATAAATAAAATCTTAAAAAAAAAAAAAAAGAAAAGAAAATTCACTCTAGTTGGGAAGACAACTCAAGATAGGTAGTTTACTTGGAGGTTAATATAAGTGGAGGCATATTTAAGCGCCAGACAGTATAGTGCTAGCTTTAAATGTGGGTTAGCTTTAACCTTGCTGGGGCTCAGTTTCTTCATCTGTGAAATGGGAATTCGCATGAATTTGTGGTGAGGATGACATGAACTGATACAGATCATCACCATCATTCAAGGCAGGAGTGGCCAGAGAGGCCTGGACAGAGTGAAGGACCTCAGGTGGACCGACGGGAGCAATACGATGAAAGCATTGTGAAGGAAGAAGAGGCTGAGAAGTTGAAGAAGAGGGAGAGTAAAATTTTTAGCAAGAGTGAGGTTTGTGTGATTCAGGTCAAAAGAAAATGGGCATGAAGTTATCTGATGTGTCAGAGTGTGTCTGATGCTCCTGAGCCTGCTCCTCACCCTGGGGCCCCCCTCATTGCTGGGGCTTTCGGAGGCTGCTCTGTGTCCACCTGGGGATACTAGAAACCACAGGACTCATTCAGAGCCTCTTCTTCCGCCGTGACCAAAATTAAGACCTGTGTCATTGGTTAGAATGCAGAATTCACCGATGTTTGGGTTTCTGCTTAAAGTAAAATTCAACTTGGGGTAGATCTGCTCTGAGGTAGGCCCCAGAGCACAGGGGATGATCCTCTTAATTTTGTTGTTGAGGATATATATTTTTTTAAGTTAAGGACTTAAGTTTTAAGTTAGGACTCCTGGCACCCAGCCTCTTCACGTAGCTGTACCCTCATACCCTTGAGCACCGAGAGGCAACACAGCCCCTTCCATGGCTCAGGATATGGGAGCACAAACCTATTTTTCACCAGCACTGTGGCTGTGCCGGCTGCATTGGGAGCAGCTAAAGCATCTGCCTCCAGTGCCAGGGGCTGAGTCGGAGCAGACGCATGCCATGCTGCCCCGAGACGCACAGACCCCCTGCGAGAGACACCTCGGCGGCCCGTGTCGAAATGTGTGAAATCCTAACAGAGTCAGGTCCCCCTTCTGTCTCCATCTTGCACCACCCCGGGGAGACAAAACTCTATCTGCCTGGTTTCTAGCTTCGTACCCGTGGGGGGAAACCAATCTTTCACTTTGAGGACTTGAAAATCGGACAGGTGAATAAAAATGGAGGTCTTTGCCTTACCCCGTGAAGACTCCTATATTATTGATCTTGTTCACACAGCAGATACTTGCCTTTTAGGTAAATCTTTGGGGCAGTGAATATCTGTGGGTGCCAGAGCGTTAATTGTGCTGCTGGGTGGGGACCCTTGGTGTCTGAAATTGCCCACAAGGGGTCTATGCCAGTTCTCCTCAAACATTGCTGCCCGTTAGAATTACCTGGGAGAGTAAAAAATCCCGATGCCTAGGCTGTACCCCACACCATACATCAGAATCTCCAAGATGGAGCCCAAGCAGGGTTTCTAGAGATCCGCTAGATGATTCTGTGTGTAGCCGAGTTTAAGAACCACTGGCCTAGATTCTGTACCCTCCCTGGGAGGGGAAAGGATCCGTGGGCTCTCGCGACTGTGGCTCGCTGGCTGATTGGCTGGCCTACTTCGGCAGGTGATTCATTCAATCCGTGGGTCAGAGCTTGTCTGCCAGATGGGGTGGGCAGGAGCCATACCAGCCCTGGGGGCCGACCTTCCAGCCTGGGGGTGCTCCACATGCTGGCCACACAGGGCTCGGGGCACTCCCGGATGGGGTGGTGAGATCAGGATGGCCATCTTCTGCGTCAGTCCGGGAAGGGGTGGCCTCAGATGCTTGCGTCACTTCCCCAGGTTTGTGGTGGGCAAGGGGGAGGAATAGATGGGCTATCTGCTGAAGAGAAGGGGAACAGGAAGAAGAAACCTTTACTTACAGCAGCTGTGACTTGCTGTACCCAGTCCCAGGCCTGGAATAACTGACTTTTGAAAGCCATGAACCAGCTGCCTTTTCTTACAGGGCAATGGCTGTAGCTCACTTGGAAACTATGAGAGGAGATCTTCCAGGAGCTTCTAGAGTTTCCTTTCCATTATTTAACTCTTTTTTGGGTAGGTGAATATGAGAAAGCTGTCAGCTCCTGAGGAGGGGACAGCCCGTGTGCTTCAGAGATGGGTAGAGTGGAGCCCAGGATAGGAACCAGATAAGTGGTCTTTCTGACTGGCAGCTCCCACGGTTGAGCCGTGGCCGGGTACATCTGGTCCCATAGAGGTGGTCCAGTTTGGGGGGCGGTTTCCGGGGAGGTCCGTGTCTCTGGGAACTAGCTGTGGGAAGGGACCGGGAGTGAGGAGCTCCATGTGAGGATCTCCGGATTGATGCATCGCCGGTGAATGAAGACACTTTCTGAGGTTCACGGCGGTTGTTGCTTACCTCGGGCCTAAAGGAGGTGCCCTGGGGTGTGCTTCCCCTTGGGTGCTCTTGGATGGAGTCGCGGTCCAGTTCCAGAGCCCGAGTGGCCATGCAGGAAAGGGTGGCTCCCGCGTGCTGGCAGCCGTGTCCCACTGGAGAGATTGGAAGGCCCTCCTCGCCATCTTTGCAGGGGACATGGTGCCCCTGGGTCCTGAGTCCTCTGGGGCCTGGCCCACTGATCCGATTCACCTTGGAAGAATGTTTCACAGGGCCCATAATTTCTGGGCCTCGGTCTGACAGCTGCACACCCCAGCCCTCATGGAATGGCACGGAATTTCAGTGACCATTATGGGAGTGGCAGAAGCGACCGTCCTAGAGTTGTCATGTGGTGAATTGAGAAGAACATGGGCTCCAGACATGGACGCACTGTGTTCCAGGCTCCACTCAGATGCTTACTAGCAGTGGCTGCACAAGCGTGCTCTGTAACCTTCTCTAGCCCTGTGATCTGTGAAATGGGAGTGGTATGAGAGAGGGTATGAGAAAGGATGGAGCACAGGGCTGGTACCGGCAGGATCCCTGAGGAAGAGGATGGGGGGGAGGGGCAGCCAGACCAAGGGAAGATGCAGTGATGGAAAAGGGGTGTCGGCTCATCTCCATGTAGAGGGGTGATGGGGGACGGGGGGAGGCCACACCAGCTCCCGTGGCAGCCACAGAACCTGACATGTTATCAGCTCTGTCAGGTTGGAAAGTGGGAGGAGGAAGGGCGGGCATCCTGCTGAGTGTGCCCTATGTCTGGGGACGGCTTGCTGAAGGGAGGACTGCAGGGACAGACTCCGGTAGGGGGTCCTCTTGTGTTCCACCGGGTGCTGTTGCCGTGACAGGGCTGCTGGGAAATCTGCCAGCCAAACCACACTCCTGCAGGAGGGTGCTGGGTGGTGGCAGGGAGGCAGCGGGGAGAACACAGGGGCCCTGCCTCTCTGGGCCTCAGTTTCCTCATTTGCCAAAGGAGAATCCTGACCCGCCCCAAGTCTGCTCAATTTCTAAAATCAGGTGAATTCTGGGTGGCTTTTTACCAACTTACTTGTTTTCCCAAACCATGGCTCCCGCTGCACACGGGCAGCATGAAGACCGCATCCGGAGGGTGGGCGGCGGTGAAGTGGAGAGAAATGCAGGGAATTGATTGAGGGACAGAGTTGCTTAGACCCCAGAATTCACCCCCACAGTGTGAAAACCTATGACCTCCATCTCGTTCCTCAGCGTTGTTCTTCCCTTATCCTTCCTTGGCGGTGGGGAGCGGGGGCGGGGGGGTGGGCAGCAGGGGAACCCCTGGGAAGAACACAGCAGAACAGCCCTGGGATTTCCTTGTAGGTCTGCACCTACCAACTCAAGTTACTGAGCTCCTCTGAGCCCTGGTTGTCTCACCTGAAAATGTAGGTAATAATCTCCATCTCACAGAGTTTAGGTTTGTGAGGATTAAAAGAGACAGTGCTTGCCGGGTTCTTGGTACAGAGGAGGTGCTAAGTAGATGTTGGTTGTCCCCATGCCCCAGGAGAGGAGGCTGATTCTCTCAATTATTGTAGAAGAACAGCCCCCTGTCCCCTTCCGGTTCACTCGTTCATTTGACAAATATATATGGTTGACCCCTGAGCAACTTAGGGGTTGGGGGCGCTGCCCCCCAGCACAGTCAAAAATCTGAGTATAACTTTTGACAGCCCCTAAACGTAACCACTAATAGTCTGCTGTTGCCCAGAAGCCTTACCAATAACATGAACAGTCTATTAATACAATTTTGCATGTTATATGTATTACACACTGCATTCTTACACTAAAGTAAACTAGAGAAAAGAAAATGTTATTAAGAAAATCATAAGGAGGGGCACCTGGATGGCTCAGTCAGTTGAGCGTCCAACTCTTAATTTCGGCTCAGGTCATGATCTTGGGGCTGTGGGATTGAGCCCTGAGTTGGCTAGCGGGGAGTCTGCTTGAAGATTCTCTCCCTCTGCCCCTTCCCCTCTCGTGCTCAACCTCTCTCTCTCTCAGATAAATAAATAAGTAATTAAGTAAATAAATAAATAAAATCTTAAAAAATCATAAGGAAGAGAAAATAACATTTATAGCACTGGACTGTATTTATATATAAAAAAATTCCTGTATAAGTGGATTCACGCAGTTCAAACCTGTGTTGTTCAAGGAGCAACTGAACTTCTTATGTGCGAAGTACTGTGGCCGGTGATGTAGGGCCTGGGCTGATGCTCATGTGCCCTTGGTCCCCTGGATCTGGGTGAATTGCTGTCGTTCCCATCAGCATATGCTGGGACCGTGTGTACATTCCTGTCTCTCCGGCTCTCGTTGCTTCCTCCGGGAGACGGTGCCTTGCATTTCTCTGCAGCTCCCATAGCATCTCAATGCAGTCTTTTCCCTAGTAACCCTCAGTAAGCAAATGCTGTTCTGCTGATGCACCGAATTCGTCGTCCGTGCCGTGTGCTGGGCACGTTCATATTAGTCTCGCAGCAAGCCCGAGGGGTAGGCATTGGTCCCATTTCACAGGTGAGGAGACTTAGATTTCAGTTACTTCCCCGGAGCTGGCCGGCTACCCAGTGGCACCACTGGGATTTATCTCTGATTGTTCTCACCCTGCGCCCGTGAGATTAGTTTTCACCGCGCGGGACTGGTGCTCCCTTATTCGAGGTCTTTGGGAGGGTCTGGTCCTCCCCTTTCTCATCCGGAGAACCACTGCGCACCCACTCTCACTTCTGTGTCTGTTCCAGAATGTCTGTAAACCCGCCGAGGAGACGCAGCGGCCGCCCACACTGCAGGAGATCAAGCAGAAGATTGACAGCTACAACACCCAGGAGAACAACTGCCTGGGCATGAAGCTGGTGCGTCCGGGGAGGGGGGGGGGGTGTTGGAGGGCTGCCCGCCCCCACCCGGCCCCGCCCTCGCCCTCGCCCTCGCCAGCCCCCACCCGGCCCCGGCACCCGCCCACCGCCCCCGGCCGCCGGCCGCCGCCCCTTCCACTGGGGGCTCCTGTGCTCTCCCTCTGGATTCCGGGGAGGCCCCTCGGAGGCCCCTCCCCTTTCTTCAGGCCTCGGGAGGCCTCGGGGCTTGTGCGAGGCCGTCAGGGACCCCCGCGGGCTGCGGGGAAACAGAATGGGCTTTAGAGTAAGATCCAGGTCAGTCGCTGGCTCGTCCCCTGTTTCGCTTTGGGAAACCTTCGAGCTTCGGCGTAAAATAGAGATACCAGTGCCCATTTGTCGGAGCTCTTGTGGGAATTAAGTACCGTACAAAGACCTCAAGAACTGGTATTGCTTGGCCCCCAGGAAGGCCTCACGAGGGGAGTTCGCAGCTCCTGTCCTCTCCCTCTTGGTTGGTGCACTTCTACCGCCTGCGTCTGGGGAAGCTTCCCGAGACTGCAGAGCTCCGAGGGGAGGCTCGCAAAGGCCATCTGCAGTGGGAAGGGGCGAAGGTAGAAGAACCCTGCCCCCTGCTGGTGGCTGCTGGCTCTGGGGCTTCAGCCAGATGGAGCGCTAGAAAATCCAGTCTCCCACGGTCCTGGGCTTAAGTCTTGCAGGCTGCCCCGTTTTGGGAAGAAATGCAGGAGGAAATGCAGTGGGCTGGTTTTGCGAGGACCTCATTACAGAGCCTTCCTGCTCCTCCCTGGTTTGGAGGGACAAACTAGAGAGGCCACTCCAGACCCTGCCTCCTAGGAGCGGGGACTCAGCAAAGGCAGGGCACTGGGGCAGGAAGCCTGAGCCCTGGGAGGGAGAGCCAGAGCAGCTCCTCCTGTTCTCTCGGGTTGCTGGATACTGCAAGCCTTCTCCTGGCCCAATGCGGGGCGGGCAGGGGGACATCGTCTCTGCCCTCTGGCACCTGCAGGTCTGCAGACACAGGAAGGAACTCGGGGCGGGAGGGGAGGGCCTGCCTGGGATGGCACTATTTGGAAAGGCCTCTGCACCCCCCCCCCAACCTGGTGCAGTGACTCAGAGTGGCAGATGGGATCATGCAAGATAGACGTGAGCGGACCCATATGACGTCCCCTCCGCAGAGTGAAGATGGTACCTACACGGGTTTCATCAAAGTGCATTTGAAGCTCCGGCGGCCGGTGACGGTGCCTGCTGGGATCCGGCCCCAGTCCATCTATGATGCCATCAAGGAAGTGAACCTGGCGGCCACCACCGACAAGCGGACATCCTTCTACCTGCCCCTCGATGCCATCAAGCAGCTACACATCAGCAGCACCACCACGGTCAGCGAGGTCATCCAGGGGCTGCTCAAGAAGTTCATGGTTGTGGACAATCCCCAGAAGTTTGCACTTTTTAAGCGGATACACAAGGACGGGCAAGGTATGCGAGGGCAAGCTCCCCGTCAGAGACCACCTCTCCCGCTAAACCCCTGCCAGACTTGGGAGGGGAGGGCTGGGCTTCCCCGGGGCGCCGCCGCCCAGCCACGTGGCAGAGAGCTGGCTGGTAAGCTCATGCCTGCTCCCCGCGCCCCCCACTTTATATGTGACTGCAGGAAACCACAATGTGGGCTCCCACTTCCTAATCTGTGGCATGGGAGAGAAACCACCCACCATTCCTAATCTTTTGGGGAGGGTGATGTGAATGGAAACATGCGTCAAACTCTGGGCAGACACTGAAGATAAAAGGTCATCATGCCCTATTCATGTCATTAGATTCATTTCATTAGGCTGAAAGGATGGCTCCTTCCCGTTATGGCCACCCCTTGTCTGCATTTCCATCCCTGCCCCTCTTTTCTGAGATGTGCCTCCAGCCCCCTCTCTTGGTTTGCAGTGTTCTTCCAGAAACTCTCTATTGCTGATTGCCCTCTCTACCTGCGCTTGCTCGCCGGGCCTGACAATGACGTCCTCAGCTTCGTGCTCAAGGAGAATGAAACCGGAGAGGTGGAGGTAGGTCTGGACCCCTTTGCTCGGTGCCCGAACCCAGCCCTCAGGGCACCCTGGCTGGGTGCAGGTGGGCATTGTCCTCACTGCCAGCATAGGCGGGGGCCACGCGGCAGTAGCCAAAGCAGCTGGGAAAATGGCCTGGGAAAGTTGAGGCCCGGGGAAGTGCTGGGCCGCAGAGGTTTCGCGTCTAAAGCCAGGATTGTCAGCATCCTGGGGGTGCAAGTCAGGGCCGGTGTCTGGCACGGCCTGTGGAAAGAAAGGATTTCGTGTGCTTTTTTCCCTGAAAACCCAGGGTGGAGGGGCACTGAGAAATGCCTGTGTCCAGGCCCCAGCTGTTTTTGCTCCAGGCTGGCCTGAGGCCCCACCAGCTCCATCTCTGGCCTCCACTGGATATGGAGATTTTTGAGCCATTTGCCTCTTCCTGGTTCTTAAAAGCTGGCCTCCTTCCTCAAAGGGGAGTTCATCAGAGTCCAGTCTGGTGGCACGGAGTCGGGTGGAATCAGGCTGGTGCTCTGTGTGGCCTGGGATACTTGGGAGGCATGGAGGAGTGACCGAGGGCAGTTGTTTGTCACGCTGCGGTCAGTGGAGGCCTAGGGTTTGGGGGAGCAGTCTCGGGGGTCACTGTGGAGATCTGGGGGATCCAGGCAGGGTAGGGCCCTGTCCCTTCACCCTGCTTCAATCAGGCAGCTCTGCTTCCGTCTGACTTACACATTAAAGTGCATAGGACTTTGTTTGAAAAACGTACTCTGCTGACAGTGTTTGGACACCGCGGGCCCAGCGCAGAGCTCGTGGGCCTGGGAGTTTAGAGACCGGGCCCTAATTTCCTTTCTGCTGCCGCAAGCCCCGTCCCCGTAGGTCCGTCGCCTCCCGTCTGTGGACTTCAGTCTTCTCAGTTAGGCAGTGTGGGGATTAAGCTAGGTAAGCCTTCATATTCTTCTGTGCTCAAAAGAGCTTAGGAGTCAAAATCCTTGGCTCCACAGGGTGGGGTGGTGAGGGCTGGGGGGGCTCTGCTCCTGGGTCAGCCTGAGAGCAGTCAGACTTGCCTTCTGCCCAGAGAGGCCAGGTCCCATTGGGGCAGGCCTGGGCCAGCTGGCTTCTCCAGAGCTTTACAGGTTCTGGGATCTCATTAGCTGCTCTGCCAGCCAAGGGAGGCAGGGACCCTCATTCCGTGGCAGATGAGCACATAGGACAGAAGGGTGCAGTGATGTGCCCAAGGTCACGCGGTGGAGTCAGGCTGAAACCCAGTCTCCGGAGGCCAAGCCCAGCTCTCCTCCACCTGCCTCTTGAGGGTCTGCACGCTGAGAGCCTGTTGCTCAGCACCCCCAAAGCAGACAGCCAGACAGGCCGGCAGGGGCCCTGGGCGGCCCCAGCATCACTGTTCAGGCCTCAGCTGCCATGGAGAAAATGTAGGATGGTTGATACTCCAAATAAAACACCGCTCATGGACTTGTACCTCTGGGTCATGAGATGTCAGGATTTGAAATATGGTTGCCGGTATGACACGGGAAACCCAAGCTTTCTCCACTGCAGCTATTCAGTAGCAACCCCCCTGTAAGCTGTGTGCAGATGGAGGCAGCGGGGGGTTGGGCGGGGCCCTCAGGTCGGGCGGCTTCTGACCTGTCTCCTATTCCGTTTTCCCCCCCAATCTCCCTCGTGCCTCGCAGTGGGACGCCTTCTCCATCCCCGAGCTCCAGAACTTCCTAACAATCCTGGAAAAGGAGGAGCAAGACAAAATCCAACAAGTGCAGAAGAAATATGACAAGTTTAGGCAGAAACTGGAGGAGGCCTTAAGAGAATCCCAGGGCAAACCTGGCTAACCGGTCCTGCTTCCTCTTCTGGTGCCCGTGGATTTATTTTTATTATTAATTATTATTTTGCAACAGACACTTTTTCTCAGGACACCTGTGGCGGGTGCATCTGTGCCCCCCCTCCCCCGCCGGCAGTTCCAGATGTGGCACGAAACCTCTGAGGGACACGCGTGCTCGCGGGCCAGGCCCCCGCCTGCCACACACCACCTCCGAGGAGCAGGACTGGGGAGGGGAGGTGGTGGTGGCAGGGGCGGGAGGGGGGAGAGAAGAGCCTTGGATGTCAGCAATCCACGAGCCCTTGGTAAGCCAACCAGCTGCCTCTCTCATCACCAAACTGGAATGGTTCGCACCGGCCGGCAAAGGAAAGAAGAAAGGTTTTAGAGCTGTATGTTTTTTCTCTGGGTTTTATTCTTCTTCAATTTCTCTCTTATTTGCCACCCATAGACCTTTATTTATGAGTCAAAAATTGTAGCATATTCCTTGAGCTGGTCGGGGCTAAGCCCCCGAAAGCAGGATAATGCTCGTAAGAGGATTGCCCCCCACTGTCCCAAGGTGCCCGTTGTTCATGCTCAAGGGAAGGTCCTAAAGCCACTGGCCCCAGATGCTCAGGTAGGGAGCACCATAGCTGAGGTTGGCTCAGAGATTTCCAGAGAAGCCACAGCCTGCCTTGGCCCTCATCACTCAAGAGTCTGCACACACGTAAACCCAAAGGCATATATTTATCTGCACGTGTGTGATGCCTCGTCACTTCTTTGTCAACAAGCGTTTGTTTTTAAAGTTACAACTTGGAGTTTCCTATTGCCATCATCCTCACGTGTTTTCACGAAGGGAAACCAGCCATTTGCCATTTTTAATGTCTCCTGCTGAGTACGGAAATCAGGCAGTCAGAGGAAGCCAAAAAGCATTGCAGAGAAATGTGTCCAACTTGTCCTCAGCCTTCCCCCGGCCAGAGAGCAGGGGAGGGCCTGGCCGCCCTGCTTTGCCGCGTGGCCTTCCGCACGGCCTCCTTCCTCCCACTGGGACTCTGGGGTCTCCAGGTGCTGCCAGAGGAGCTGCCTTGAATACAGACGGGGATCCTCCCAACTCAGCCGACTTGGAGTCCTTTGTGTTCCGAAGCCCGGGCCAGCCCGTGGCCTGTGCTCCGCGAGCTTGTGGGCCGGCCTCCGGCTGACCTCAGTGCCTTTTTGTTTTCAGAGAGAGACGGGAGCAGGGCGCACCTGCTTGACGCTTGCTGCTGGCTTGCTCCTGCCAGAAAGGGGACCATGGTGGTGCGGGAGGCGAGGCCAGGGGAGCCCTCCCTCCGAGAATGGGGCGAGAGTCACAGACCTCCTTCCCCTCTAATGTCCTGGGCTTTGACTCCCAATAAGTGATGTCAAACCCCATGGACAAGGTGGATCAGATCCCTAACTTACACCTGTACTGGATCCTTGTTCGGGTGCAAACTGAAAAATAAACTAGCCAAGCAACTGAAGCAAGTGGCCAGGGCTGCAAAGACCCTCCAACGCAGAGGGAGAAGGACTTTTCACGGCCAAAGCAGGGCTGGCTTTCCAGTCCAGCCTCTGAGAGATCACTTCTTCGCTGTCCTCTGCCTTCCCAGGTCCTTCCTGGGTTGGGTTGAGCCCCAGCTTCTTTGTGTAGCCTCAGAAGTCCCCTCCGCAACCCTTGCTGTGTCCACACCGCCCCTGACCCCAGAAGGAATGCTGCCCCCACGTCACAAAACTGTGTGTAGTCTTCAGAGCTGCAAAAGCAAGACAAGCTAGCAGCTCCAAAAGACTTTTTAGGCCCCCAGAACCCTGGTTCTCTGCCATCTCATGCTCAGCCTTATTGCTTCTCTCCCTTAAAAAAAATCTCTCTCCCTGCTGTGTACTAAAGGGCGCGGGTAGAGAGTCCTTTTCCTTCATGCTGCATGTCTTTAACATTAATGGAAGGTACAGCACCTGCTGCAGCCGCTGTGAATGCTGCTGAGAGCCTCCCTCTGGTGGGGGCGGCTATTTTATTTTTGAGAAGGAAAATAAAGTCATGTACATATATACATAAGGGCATATAGCTATATATAAAGAGATAGGGGTGTTTATGAAATAAGAAAATTATGGAAAATTCTGACTTTATCTAAAGCACAGTTAGACCCAGGAGCCACGCTGAGGCCCGAGCCTCGATGAATAGTCTGTACAAAGTATCCCTCCCCCCGGGGGCGGGTATGGTGGCTGGGAGTGCCTTCTATCCTTGTGCTGCCCTGTGTGTACATATTTGTCTTGAGGATATTTTCTTTTTAAATGTCTTTCTTATATGGGTTTTAAAAAAAGTAATAAAAGCTTGTTGCAAAAATGACCCAGACTGGAGAGATCTTCTTTGCCCTTCACCACCTCCTGGAAATTGGGAGCCAGGGGAAAGGGTGGGAATGGAGAAGAGCACGTACTTCTGCACAGAGTCTGATTTTCTCCCGCCAGCGAACAGAGGAGTGAAGGCTGCTGGTCAATCTTGAGAAACCTGTCCAAGCGCGTGGGCCGGAGGGTGCTGCCCGGGTGCCCAGCTGCTGAGCTAGCCCACAGAGCAAGAGAGGAAAGGGGATGTGTTCTAGAAGGAGATCCTTGTAGAGTGAGAAGAGGGGAGGGGCTTTCTGGAGCCAAGGATGATTAAGCATCAGGACAGACTACTGAGGTGGACGATGATTCTTCCCTGTCTGGAATTATTTAAAAATAAGACATACAGGATGCATCTCTCAGAGTTTAAGGTCACCTCACCTAGAGGGGGAAGGCTAGATGAGGCGAGTGAAACAGTCCTTTCACAATAGCACTATCTAACTTCCATCAGAGGAACGGCTCTGTCATCACGGAAATAACCACGTAAGGTTATTAAGAAGAAATTGCTGCCCGCCTTCCAGGAGGGAGCACGCGTAATGCACTGAACGGGGGCCCTTGGGCCACAGAGGCTGGTCAGAGCGCAGCCAGCTCACTCCCTACCTCCATCCAATAGACATTCCTAAAATTATCAGAGAATCGGGCTTGTCTGTAACATCTGTTCGCCTAGACCTCCGAGAAGTAGGTCTTTTAATAACTTCGCCAAAACCTGGCCATGAACCATTTTCTGCTTTTCACTGCAACTCATCCGGTAACATCATGGGATTAAGTTCAAAGTTACTAATTTGACCTTGAAAGAGACGGTTGGGCTTAGCACAGAGAAAAAAAAATCCATTCAACAGCCTAACCTTCCCCAGCCTTCTTACACGTGCCTATGGTGTTCCTGAGGAGAGCGAAGGTGAGTCAGCGCAAACGGGTCACTGTTACTGGAAAAACCACTCAAAGCACAGGTCCTGACAGCACGATCTTAGCAGAACTCTGAGGTAAACCACAGTCCGGAGTGGAAGTGCATTCTAGAGCCACCCTTGCTGTTTACCGGCTTTGTGTCTTTAACAGAGATCAACAAGGCGAGACACAACCTCTCAGCCTCCAATCAATTTGTGCAAGGTAAATCATGTTTGTGAAGGAAACTTACAAAGTACTACACGTTATCTGTGTTCATATAAGGACCATATTTCCTTACTACTACACATACCACACTCCCTCAGATCAAACTGTCTGTCCAAAGGTTCTATGTCATAGAATCTTGTTTGGGGTCAATTTCCAAAAATCCCTTCCTCCGTTCCATAGGCTCATGCTGGCAGAGAGAGGATTAGTAAAATTAAGGAGTTTACTTACAGTGAGTCATTAGTGACAAAGACTGTTATTCTAGGTCTAATAACGAAAGGTAGGAAGCGTCACACACGCACTTTCATAACCATCCCTTTCTTCCTTTCTAGCCCCAGATGGGTTATTTGTGAATAGTGTGGATATTTTCAAGTGTTTCTTATCTTGATTTATAAAAAAAAAGGGGGGGGATGAGAAAGAAAAAAAAAAGTAAACTCTAATTGTTTTTTGATGGTAAAACCAAAAAACTCTAGAAGAATTCAGCTCAGCTCTCACTCCTTCCTTTTGTACAAGGAGTGCTTTGGTCACAGAAGTGACTCCCAGCAACTAAGCAGGGACCAGAGCAGTGCTTCTGAACCTTTCTGGCAGCAAGTGATCCTGCTGGGCACGTGACAAAAGCATGGGAACCTCTCTTGGGAAAAGGAGCATACAAAATCCTGCACACCATTTCAGGGAGTTCACAGACTCTCTGAAGACCAACTGAAGACCCCTTCCACGAGCCCCCAAAAGTTGGATAAGACTCTTTCCTGTAACAAAGCCACCTCACGATTTACCACGGCGGGCGGCAGCGTGCCAGCGCGGGGGAAGAATTGTGCAGGGGAATCCAGATGCTTTCATGATTTCTTCTACCTGTCCAGCCGGAATGCTGCTGCCATTCAGAGCCAAGCCTTTCTTCTTTGGCCTGGCTTGATGGCAGAGAACAGCTGAGTGCCGCTTCTGGGCGACTAACTCTTTAGAGATGTGAGGGGACTCTTTTGGGGCAAGGACGTTAATTAGCGGGTAGGAACAGATGAGCACGAGGCTGTGGACTATCTGCTAGAGGGGCTTTCAAAACACAAGGTCCTACCTACCTGAGCTTTGGATGAGTCACCTGCCCTGAAAGCAGGAAAGGAACTAAAACCACTGAAATCACATGAATAGAAAAGGCACTCCACTACCACCTCTCCTGTCGATGTAAATTGACGTATGACTTGAAAATGTAGTACAACAGTCTAGCTAAGTGGAGGAAACCAGATTTAGATTAGAATAAAAATTTATTTTGGTAAAGAATTATATTTTTTCATTTGCAAAAGCTGAAAATGCTCGTATAAATGACCAGCCCAGAGCCTGGATTTCCACTGGATCGACCACATGAGACAGGAGTCTGTTACTTCTTCTTGCCGGGTTTGGAGGCCTTTTCTAGGCCTTGGATGTGTTTTCGAGGAAGCTGATAGTCTTCTACAATCCAAGAAGCAGAAACTCCTAAGTGGGGCATGCCCTCCCCAACACCACCTATGCTTTGTGTCACAACGTCCCTCCTTGGCCCCGACCCCCACAGGCCCTGACCCACATGGCTACCTCCCACCCCCGGCCCCACTGTGCGCCCATTCCCATTATCAACTTCTCTTCAGTCAGCCTGCATCCCGTGACCTGCTCTTCCACACCCAGCTCGAACCCAGCTCCTCTGAGCAGTTGTCTGGGATGGGCCATTTATCCTTATACCTCATGGCTGATGTGTGTATTTTAGCAATTTTCACTCTGAAAGCCACTTTCTAGATATACTTGAGGCATTCATAATTTTCTCAGGAGAGAGAACGTGTTCATCTGCGTTCAGTCATGTGCTTGTCTATTTTCCTCTGTATTTCTTCTCAGCACCTCCTACCGGGTTCTTCACTTAAAGGGGTCAACTCCAAAAGTTTACTACAGGGTACTGCCTTAGGCCCTAAAATACATGTGCTTATCGAGCATCCACTATGTGCCAGGCCCTGAGCATGAAAAAGGGATGAAGAAGGCAAGGTCTCTGACTTTTAAGTTGCTCAGTCTAGCAGGGGGTTCAGACATTAGAAAAAACTGGTCAAGTGGCAGACACTAACCAGAAAAATAAACACAAGTAGAAAGTGCCACATAGGCAATATTTTAAATGCTAATTTAAGGACAGAAAAAATGGGACATGCTCTGAGACAGGCTTCCCGGGACCCCTGAGCTGGGCCGATGAGACCCTCCGTTGGGCAGACGTGGGCTGTGGGAGGGCACAGTGCGCGAGGGAACAGGGACACAAGCACCGAGTGTGCATGGGGAACAGTGAGGACAGCAGTGCGGCTGAGGCCTGAGGTGGGGGTGGGGGGCGGTGAGAGCTGCCAGAGAGAGCTCGAGGGGAACGGGAGTTGGACTGGGAGGGTCTTATTTATTGAGCATAGGGGCCTGTTCTGAAGGCACTGGCGTGGCACAAGGAGTGTTTAGAGGAGAGTGATGGAAAGCGGACTCAGGCAGAGGGGACGTGAATCAAGGACAAGCCGGAGGCTGGGTGACCCAGAGTTGGGAGAAAGAACTTAGGCTCTGGGGTCTGACAAAGCCGAGTCCGGAGCCCAGCTGCAGCGCCGAACAGCTGAGTATCTGAGGGCAAGCAACTGAGCCTCTCTGAGCCTCGGCTTCCTCAGCTGCAAAACACAAACAGTTCTGCTACATCGTTCTGATGAGGAGAGACGGTGCCTGCAAAAAGCCCAGCAAAGTACCCAGCGTGGTTGGGATGCTCTATAAAAGGGAAAACCAGGAAGAAAACTACTCCAGTGGTATGGTGGAGAGAGCACGGACTCGGGGGGCCAAAGCCTCTGGCGCAAATACCAGCTTGGTCTCTTGCCGGCCCCTCACTACACACTGACGGCCACAGACACATACATATGTACGGCTGTGATGACTAGAGGGGCTGGAGTTGGTGGGAAGGTTCTGGCCAAGTCAGACCCGCGCTCCTTCTCCAGAGGAGATGCTCACCAAGTAACAGCCGGCTGAGATGACGGACCTGGTTTCCCTGGATCTGGACCTGCAGGCCGTCCTTGGCCCCAGGGGCAGGGCTGACAGCCGTGCTAGCCTGGCATCGCTGCTGGAGCACGGCTGCCACCGCGTACGGGTCTAGACCGTAGGCCTCCAAGTTCCGGACCACAGTCACCTGCGGGGACAGAAGACAGGTGGTGGGCGGACCGCACGCCCTCCCCTCCACAGGGCCTGCTGGAGCCTCCGCAGCCTCTTCACCCGCCACGTTCACCGTCCCGACAACCACGGGCCCTTTTCATCCACATCGTTTATTTTTATACTTCCTGATTCTTTCCGTCCCATCCAGTTATCTGTGTTATATACTTAGTAGAATACTCTCTATCCCACCTGCAACATACACTTTTTTAAAAAAGGCTTTTTGTTATGGAGAATTAAAAACATAAATAAAAGTAGAATTGAATACCGTGCTCCTATGTTCCCATCATTTCAACAATTATCGACTCATGACCAACCTCAATTCACCTATGTCCCTGTCCCTATTGCTTTAGAGCAAATCCTCCTAAACATCAGATCATCTTATCTACAAATGCTTTAGTGCTTATCTCTAAAAGATAAGGGTTCTTTTATTTATTATTTATTTATTTATTTTTGATAAGGGTTCTTTTAAACATAAAGACAAAACCATCATCATACCTAAAAATAAATGGACAATAATTCCTTAATATCAAGCATCTCATCAGGAACACAAATATTTTTCTATTATCAACTGCACAAATGACTTATTTGTGATTTTGAGATTAAAAAAAACACTGACACTTAAAAAAAAGTCACAATTCTTCCCTTTTTGAAACAAGTTCTCTTGAATTCATGACTAGAGATAGTAGAGTATGTTACCATCAGGAATGGGTTGGGAAGGGCTGCTTTCAGTAAAGTCATAGGTTCCAAATAACCCAGGCTTGTCAAGGGACTCCAGCCCCAGAGAACCTCAGAATCGATAAGACATTAGAGGTCACATCTATTCCCTGATGTATGCACTCTGGACTACATCTTCCCCCAACAAGTGGTCACCCAATTGTTGCTTGCAGACCTCCAGACAAGAAGAACTCCCTATTTTGGAAAGCACCAGTTTTAATTTGGGACAATTCTAACTGTTACCGTTAATATTAATAGTGTTTCAATAAGCTAGTACAAATGTCCCCTGCTTTTTCAAAGTTCACGGTACACCACTTCGCTCTTATGAAAAGACCTACATTAGTACTTTTTTTTTGCTAACTGAAAGAAATCCGGAGGGTTTCACTCTTACAAAGAAAGGTGAAAAGTGAACATAGCGCTCAGCACTGGTTTTGCAGGGAGCCCGCACAGAGCCAGCGCGCACCCCGAGCAGCAGCGAGAGGGGGGCCCCCGCCAAGCTCCTGCCCCGGGGACGACACTCAGCACCTCAGCGCCCAGCCCCCAGATCTCTGAACTGTGTCTGGGAGCATCTGTGCTTTATCTCCAGTTATTCTGTGCATCCGTTAGCAAGACGTGTCCTGACGTATCAGAAAAGCCTAAGAGAGTTATTTTTTGGGGTCTGGGAATGCTCAAAATTTTTTCCATATAAAGTCATGGTAATTGCTTCTTTGCTTTACCCCATTTCAGCTGACAAAAGGTTTCATAGGAATGCTCCACTTTCAGCTAGCGGGGGAAACCTGTATATACAGAAATTGCTTAGGACAGAGTCTGGCACATAATTACACACCCAAGAAATAGTGGCTATTGCTAGTTATTATTGAGGTTCTCATTTACTCACTGCTTAAATGCCAAGTACTATTCTAAGTGCTTCACCCATGTATTTCCTTCATTTGGCCCTCACGATGCCTTATATGGTGGGTATTATCCCCATTTTTCATATAAGAAAACTTCAGGGAAAAAAACATTCACTTTCTCAAGGACAAACAGCAAGGCAAAGGTCACATTTGAGCCCATATCTCTAATGCTAAAGCCCACTTGCATAACCCAAACACTAGAAAGTTCTTTATCTGGAACCCAAGTCTGTCTGCTTGGGATTTCCATCCAATAATCCTATTTCTGTCTTCTCAAGGCATCTCAGCATTAAGTGCACTCCTTTTCCCAAGGACAGCTTTTCACACACTTGGGCCAGATAGAATTAGCTCCCTAGGACTCTGTGTTGCCAGGCTACACACACTCACTTCCTTCAGCAATTCTTTATAAGCTGTTTTTCCCTGAGCAAGGCCCAAGAGGTAATAGAATGAGTAAGAGCTGAAAGCCCGTAACAGGTCTAGGAAAAAAATAAAAACAAAATCTTGTTTACCTTTGTAACTAGGCTCTAGCAAGTGTCCTAGCACAAAATCCTAGAGGGTAGGAGGTGAGAGGGCCAGCTCTGCCTGTTTTATACAGGGCCCAGCCCACTCACACAAACATGGCTGTTTCATAAACAATCTTTGCGGTGTTTGAGGCCAAAATCTAAAAACCTCCAAACACAGGGCACCTGCGTGGCTCAGTCAGTTAAGCGTCTGCCTTTGGCTCAGGTCATAATCCCAGGGTCCTGGCATGGAGCCCCATGTCGTGCTTCATGCTCAGCGGGGAGATTGCTTCTCCCTCTCCCTCTACAGCTCCCCCTGCTTGTGCACTCTCTCTCTCGTTCTCTCTCTCTCTAATAAATAAAATCTTTAAAAATGAATGAATGAGGGGCGCCTGGGTGGCTCAGTTGGTTAAGCGACTGCCTTCAGCTCAGGTCATGATCCCGGAGTCCCGGGATCGAGTCCCACATCGGGCTCCCTGCTCGGCGGGGAGTCTGCTTCTCCCTCTAACCCTACCCCCTCTAGCGCTCTCTCTCTCTAATAAATAAATTAAAAAAAAAAAATCTTAAAAAAAAAATGAATGAATGAATGAATAAATAAATAAATAAATACATACCTACCTCCAATCACATTAGAGAGACTAGAACTTAGCAGGGATATTAAATCACCATCTTCCAACACTGTGTCCTTTTTTTTTTTCTTTAAAGATTTTATTTATTTATTTGAGAGAGCATGCAGAGAGGGAGAGAGAGAGGGAGGGAGAGAGAGAGAGAGAGAGAGCACGAGCAGGGGGAGGGGCTTAGGGAGAGGGAGAAGTAGACTCCCTGCTGAGCAGGGAACCCAGCGCGGGGCTCAATCCTAGGACTGCAGGACCATGACCTGAGCCAAAGGCAGACGCTTAACCCAACTGAGCCACCCAGGCGCCCCTCAACATTGTGTCTTTTTAAAAATTACCTTTTTATTAGACGCTCTCTGCGCTAGGGTGATGTCAATTGGGCAGATTTTGCCTTTCTTCATAACGGGCTCTTGTCCTGGAAAGGTCACTTGATAGGCAGGCTGCAATCTTTCCAAACATCTGAAACAGGAGTTCGTGAGCTACAGACTGATAAAGCCAACAGAAATCATCTCATTCCCCACTGCTAGTGGCAGCTGGGTGTGAGCCAGGCTCGTGTAGGCAGCGGTTTGCCCCAGGCTGCACTGAGAATCACTGACCTCACCTAGGGGGCTGCATCCAAGACCAATTAAATCAGAAACTCCGATTAGGCATATATGTTTTTTAAAGATCCCCGAAGTATGGCCAAAGTCAAGGCCCAGGGATTCAGGGAAGGGATTCATTAGTGACTTGAGCCCCTGGAAACTGTCCAGTGGTCTGGTCTTCTGACACTCTGCCCAGGCTGCCTTGGGGAATTGACTTCCTGTCTCAAGACTCTCACGTACCCAGCATGGTAAAGTGCTGCTTCCCATCTGTGACGTGTTCCGACTCATCTTCTAGAGAAAGCCTTTACCACAAAGAATGTCTACCTTTCATCTAACCAGATTTTCTCTTGGTATCATATATACTGGGACTGTACAAACTTTCTATAAAAGGCCAGACAGGAAATATTCTAGGCTTTAAGGGCCACAGGGTATGTGCAACCACCCAACTCTGCCCTGGTTAGCACAAAAGCAGCCCACAGACAATGAACAAATGGGTGTGGCTTATTTACATCAACAGGTAGCAGGCCAGATTTGGCCTGTGGGTTGTAGTTTGCAAACTCCTGATAGAAATTATTTTCAGTTTTGTTCTGTGGAAAAGAAAGAGCATAGAGTCTTTCCTTTGATGACTTTAAGACAATTCCTCCCAGCCTCTTTTTGCTTCTAAATCTTTTTGAAGTTCTTATTTTTAATTAACTGTTCTTTTTCTTTCTCCCTTTAAGTTCTCCTATATTGTGTTGGCTCAAACCATTCCAAGGATCCTCCACATAAAAATTACCAAGCCTGTGTTTATGTAGACTAGTATCAGTTGAATTATGGAGAGAAAGTCAAAGACTGAGACAGCGATGATTCTAAAGTCCAAAGGATAGACAATAAGGGGAGGGGACAGAAACGTTTGAGAGGGACTGCCAATCCCCACTACCTGGTCAGGAGACTGTCCCATGGAAGCTTCAGGACTGTGTGCTGTTCATTTTTCTCTAAGATGCAGTCACATAGGATGGGATCCAATTTCACGAGACTAAAGGGAAAGAAGAGGCAAGAAGGAAATGCCAGCCCCGCCCCTTCTGACCCAAGGGCCAGCTCAGGATTCATCTCTTCTATGTCCTTTGTAGTCCTTCAGGACCTGAGAACCAATTCAGGGACCAGAGCCCATGAAACGATGCACCCTGTGGATGGGAGGTCCGGTATGTTTTCCAAGGACAAGCGAGCAGCCAGCAGTGGAGGCGGGAGTGGGATAAATCCACACACCAGGATTCTTGGCCCAGTTCTGCTACCTAACCATGATCAGACTGCTAGTTCCCAACTTTTTGATCATGGGGATGTCTTTTGAAAGTGAAAAAGAAAAACGGTAATGGAATGCTCTTCATTTAGTAGTTACCTTTTGTGCCAACTTACTAAGAAAATAGAGGATACCAAAAAGCCATGATGACTTCAGTAAAATTTTTCTAAGCTGCACTTGATTCCTCACAAGGGCATGTGCATTTGGAAAACCAGTCGTGGATGTCTATGAGCTACCACGCCCTCAGGCTACAGCCAGTGTTGACGCCACATATGGATCCGAGCACCCTGGACAAGTCTAGGTGTCCACAGCCCATGGTTTAGAAACCACTGGTCTTGATTCTTTCGAAAAGGCTGTGATCTCCTACGTTCCCCTCTATCCCAGACATCCTCCAAGGTGTATCCAAGTCTGTGCTGTCGGGGATTGACCGATCTTCAGCAGGGCTCCCCAGCCACTCACTTTTTGTTGTCCGCATCGACCAGGTCGTTCTTCTTGGCATAGTTGATGATGATCGTCCGGACCTCAGCACCCTCGAGAACGCTCCCCTTCCTAGGTCAGAAGTGACAGGGGGCGGGGGGTTAGTTCGTGCTGTGCCAAGAGACAAACTGCAGATACCAAGACTCACTCTCTGCTCAGTAGGCTGCTTTCCTTGGCTTTTTGAGCTTTGTTTTCTTCCCTTTCCTGACTGAGGTGAGTAGGGCCTCGTGAAGGATGATTACAGGGAGGAAAGGGAGGCACCTGCTCTCGTTCATTTAGTCAGAGACACTGTCCAGGGGAAGGAGGCTTGAAGCTGGATGTAGGAGAAAGGGGGACCAGGGGCGCCGCAGGTTCTGCCAGTCACAGAGGAAGGCTACTCAGCTTGAGAGGAACTACAGGCCGGAACACCAAGCAGGCAGAGGGCTGCTCTCCAAAAACTCACTTGTGGCCAGACTCCTGGAAGAGCAGGGTCATGCTGGCTGGGACACAGTAGAGGGGTTTTATATCTGGAGGGTGATAGGGCTGTTCCCTGCTACCCTCCTGGATAGTCTGGGAGGTCGGGGAGGGCTCGGGTATGACGAAAGATGTGATCCTAAAACCCAGCAGAAGGAAAGAAAAAACACATTTTATACTAGCATCTGGGCAGTTCCCAGCCCGGGGCCCAGGTGCCTTGCGGTGGCTGAGCTACAGTGAGCAGGCCCCCTGCACTCACCTTGGGTGCTTCCAGTCCACAGCCACAATGCTCTCCACCCCTCTGCTCAGCTCCTCCACCTGTATAATCTGCTCCTGCTGCATTTGCTGCAGGAACTTAGAGAGCTAAGGGAGAGAGGGCCAGGGGTAGGGACTCCATGGATTCCATGCCCATTCTGAGCACCCGATGTGCCACACACCGAGCGAGGCCGCTCCTGGGGATGGACGCATGACAGTCTCTGCCCTCATCAAACCGGGAACTGGGAGGCCCCCGCCCTGAGGCTCAGGGAGTGAGAAGCTGCTACAGGCTAACTGGTGAAGTCTTCCAGAACTCTGGTCAGATACAAAGGGGCGGAAGGGGGAGAGGGGAGTGGGTGCTCTCCCAGCTGCCTCAACCCAGGGAGAGTCTTCTTTCCCCCTCCCCTGTACCCCCCATACCTGGAATCAAAAAGCTTAATTCTAGCCCAAGCCCTACAGACGGGGCTTCCCCAGGGTCCATCCAGCTCATGGCGCGTGTAAGCCTACACATCTCTCTGTGTGGGTCTGCAGAGAAGGTACCTGCTTACCTTTTTGTAGCTTGATTTCTTCACGTCCAGCTGTCGTCCTTCAGGGCTGGTGGTAGACGGAAAACAAGTGAAGCTAACAAAGCTGCTGAGAGGAGGGCGTTTTTCCTCAGCCTTCCTCCTCCATGTTCAGAAAGAAGCTGCTATTCCAGAGCCCTCTGCCCAGGGGCAGCAGCAGAGAGGGTACCGACTTTAGGACGCCCTAGATCACTGCTGTGTAACAGCCCTTTCTGTAAACACGGAATGTTCTCTGCCTGTCATCCAACACGGCAGCCACTGGCTGCTAAGCACTTGACGCACAACTAATGTGACCGAGGAACTAAATTCTAAATTTTATTTAATCTTAATTAGTTTAAATTTAAATAGCCGCATGTGGATAGTGGCTCCTGTACCGGATATAGCTTTAGAGTCCTCTTGAACCGGACCACCACCTGTGGCCTCCAAAGCTTGGCCTCAAGGGGAACCTTGCCAATGTCAAGCTCACTGAGGCAGCTGGGCCAAGGGCGGGACTGGCACTCTATCTCGTGGGCCCTGTCTGGCCACAGCCATTCATCTACTGTCTGCTGACACAGCAGAGCTGAGGAGCTGCAGCAGAGACTGGTCTGCAAAGCCTACGAGATCTGGCTCTTGAGAGAAAGACTTTGTGAACCCCCCCCCACAGCTGTTAGTTTTTGGGGGAGGTTCCTATGAAAGCCATAATCAGGCCCTCTGCTCAGAACTTAAGTTTTCTCTCAACATGTGGCAAGCAATAGCCTTGGGATTCATAGAGAGTCCTTCTAGAACCCGCCCCAGGTTAAGAACCTCTATCCCAGAGAAGATTCTAGGATCTCTTTCCCAGTTACTTATAACCCAGTAAGGTCAGCAGAAATTACCAAGTATCCCACCACATGCTCCAGACCCACCTGGTACAGGACACCTTAAAGGAGCCCACATGTAAGCAGGAAGAGAATTACATCAAAACCACTTTTTAAAAAAACAGAACAAAATTCTCAAAAAGAGAAAAGTTGAGTTGTGGTATACCAATCAAGGAGCAAACCTTCTGAGGATTTTTCCTGGCTGCTTATTAAATGTGAGGTCAGTGAATCTTGACAACAATCCTACAAGTGCTGGAAATTCGGGTTCAGAGAAGCCCGATAACAAGTTCAAATTCACCTTGTTCCAAAACCCTGGGGAACTGGCATTTGCGTCCAGATGGCTGTTTCCAAAGCCCAGGTTCTATCTGCAGGTACTACTGTCTCTCTTGGTGGCCTGTGTTTGGGGCCACCCCAATGGCCTCCCCCCACAATGACTCTTCCTCCTGATACAATATAATGTGGCCCACCTACTTTGCAGGGAAAGTGTGAAGGGGTTGAACGCTCGGAAGAAGCCTCTTGACAAAAAGGCTGCCCCGGGACGCTTCCTGGACAGGATGTGCTGCCTGATTCACGAGCCAGCCCAGAATTACCATAGCAGAGGCAGTGCTCAGAGAATCTCGGGAATTTTAACCTTCATTTCTTCAACAACCTTTCACTGGCTAAAATCTAAGCCTTTAAAACTCAGGACCTGATTTATTTGCCAGATCAACTCTCCACTCCACTGTCTCCACAGCATGTCCCTCAACCAATTCCCCCATCCTGTCCTGACACACCACCAATGCACCAGAGAAAGCCCCGCGGCCCACACCCTGCCTTCCGTACCAGCAGGAGAACATGTGGCTGCCAAGGAGCGTGCTGGTGAGTAAAGGGAGGTCAGCTTTTTTGACTTGGCACTTTAAAGCGTGCAAGAAGCATCGCTGTAACAGTTCATCCATTTGCTCTGCAAGGAAAAGACAAGAACCATATTTTTCTGAAGGATACAGAATGCCTGGTGCAGTACAAGTAAACACCCCACCCAGCTCCACCCCTGCCTCACCCCCTCAGCCCTGGAAGGAACCCATTCCCGGGTCCCAAAGCTCCCAGACTCTCTTGAGCATTGAGCCTTTAAAGAGGGCACACCCCAGAGGAGGGGTCCAGCCACCAGGCCCCCCCGCCCCCCGCCGGCCAGGAGCAAATGCTTCTCTGACAGAGAAGTCAGAACCAGAAGAGACCGCGGAGGCCTCTGTAGCTGGAAGCAGTCCAAATGCCAGGGCACACTGGCATGCCGGGAAGTAGGACTTGTGGGGCAAGGACTCCCTGGTGCGACCTCAAAGGGCTGCATCACCGCCCTCACCAAAGATAAGGACTTGGCCGTCCTAGAGCTTAGGCACCACTCTGGTCGGAAGCAGAGTAGAACACGTTTCCTAAATCGAGAGGAGGTGGGTCCTTCTACTCCCAGAGCTATACCTTTCAGGCTCCTGCTGTCTGTGGGGTCTGGGTTCAGGCCCCTGACGCTGGGGTCTTCTGAGGCTTCTGACAGGGACTTCTCCCCACACATCTGCTGTCGACCCTCGCCATTCGCCTTGTCCTCTCCCTCCAGGGTCAGGCACCTCACGTCTCCCTGCAGGGCGGGGTCTGCCTGGACAGACCCCTTCTCTTCATTGAGATCTGGGGGATCCAGGGCCAGTGGAGCCAAGGAAGGTGGAGAAGACTTGTCTCCAGATCGCCTAGAAAAACTGCACATCAGAAATGCCGAGCGGCAGCCACAGCATTCTCTGATCCTGGTCAGGGTCAGCTGAGAGTCGGAAAGAGTGAGAGCCACAGGCAGGGGTGTCCAGGGGAGGGCAGAGAGCCCGGGCTCTCACCTAAACCCCATTCCCAATTCTGGGCCCAGGAAAATACCATGCCTCAGCTTCCTCATCTCTGAAATGGGGAGAGTAATTGTTGCCTCCAACCTATCCTATCCCAAAGGAATAATAATATCACTCATCCACATCTGGGGACAAAGAAAGATGAAAGAAAAAGCAGTTAAAGAGAAGCCCCCAAAAGGATTCCCCTCACGTGAATTAAAAATAAAACCATTTTGAATTCAATAACAAAAGTAAGGTGGCAAACGCATCCGCAGTACGAGTTTGGTGAGATCCGATCCGAGGCTCAGAGTACATGACAAAGTACAAGCACCCGGCCTGCTCCGGGACTGCAAGTCAGTTGCTTCTGTGTTCTATCAGGATGCGCTCTAACTTGCAGAGTAGCGATGACATGCTTTCATGCCACTAAGCCTTAGGAAGATAGGAAAAAAAGCGATGCCGCATACGGAGCATGCAGCACGAGATGACGGAAACCAAACCGAGTTTTCACTAACGGTTGCAGCAAGTCTCAATAGTATTGTGAATAGTGAGGCCAGACTATGTGTTTAAGCGATTCTGATGAGGTAAGTACATAAATATTTTTAAAAGGTGGGGGCAGGGGGACTGAAGCAGCCACCGGTGGAACAATTCAGGCAACATGACCTTGACAGCCACTGTGCAGACTGACAGAAAGCAGGGCGTCCGGAGAACATCGGTAAGCAGCCCTCAAACGTCTGCGGAGACCCCGACTGTGGTTGTACCTCCTCCAGCAGGGCGGGGTTTGGCCAAGCCTTATAAAAGGAGGAACTCCAAGGCTGGGCTAGAAATGTTAGGATGAATCTACACCAACAGGCCACAATACTTGGCCAAAAGACCAGCTACACCACTTTCAAGAAAAGCCCTATTTACTGTTTTTGGTAAAACGACAAGAAAATAACCAAAGAAGAAACTAGTATGTGGTTTTAGAAAGCAATTATTACAGTGAGAAAACGTGACTTCCATAATGGGGAGGAGATCTGCAATGTGAAACCTGAACAACAGAAAAATGATCAGGTTATGACCGTGGTGCCTGAGGATCTACTCTGCTTTGATTTGGATTCAGAAGTGAGAATTTCTGAGCACTCGCTGTGAGGCAAGAAGATGCCTAAATGTGGGTGGCAGATAAGGCAGCATCTACTGAAGCTATAAAAATAAAGAATATCACAGTGTGGAGAGGCAGAGTAGACAGTCCCTAAGGTCTTCTTCTAGGCCTAGGATTCTACCGTTCACCTAGAAAATAATCAGAGTTCTCTGTAATTTCTTCCCCAAACAAGAAAAAAAAAAAAAAAAGTTAAACCAACCAACCAATCCATCCATCCATTTTTTTCTCCACATTTAGTGAAGAAATGAATGTCTGGAATCAGCAACTTGCCTACAGACATGGCAGGGCCCCAAACTCTCACTTGTGAATCCAGGCCCCATGCCCTCTCCACCCACCCAGCTCTCTGTAAAACAGAAGAGACAGAGGACCCACCACAAGTGGTCCCGGTAGGTGTGCAGCATGGAGAAGCCCCTTCCCTTGAGGCTCGAAGTCAGCATCTCAGCTGTGGACATGGCAGCAACTCCGATGGCAACAGGGGCTCTGAGGAGGAGGAAGCCAGAGACGTGGGTCAGGGAAAGCTTTTCAGAAGGGCACATGTCAGGGGCATCTTTCCACTCATGTGCTAAAAGCACCACATTTGCAAATCTGAAGCAACCGCCTGTATCACAAAACGAAACTCAGTCCAGCCTCAGTTTTCTTCCGATTACCTATAAATACAACTCTCAAAAATCCCTTGACCAAACATTCCCCTTCTGTATAAATAACTCTTCTGTTGACGTTATCACTGTTTGTTTTTATTCCTATAATGAATCAAACCCAGGCAGGACTTGCAAGGATATTTAAAGTTCCCTTTAATTTCAAAACTGTAAAATTACCTCCCCTACCTTAAAGGCCTAGCCATCCTATACAGAGCTTCAAAAGGAAGGACAACTGTATGCCATAAATGAGGCTGTGGTATACCACAGGGAAGAGAGAAGAGATAAACAGTGGCACTAACTCGAGAGGTTCCTTCTGAGTTGGCTCCTTATAACAGGCCTCGCTCTGTGTAACAAGCAATCTAAGAACTGGGTGCGTCCAGAAGATCGAAAACAATCACATTTACAGTAACTACAAAAACTTCCAAAGCCCAAATGAGAAACCGCCTCCGGCCCAGTGTTACTCAAGCATTGTCCACACACTGCCCATAAGGACGGGTGACCAACTGGATAACAGTGGGGGGACATACAAGCCTGGCAGGGTCACCTGGGCACAAGGGAGATGATTCAAGGGCAGAGTTCCCAACCTGAACTTAAGAAAGATGTTTGCTAACCTGGTGTCCCCACTGACTGTCCCCAGAGGTCAACTCCTGCCATGGAAACTTTGAATCTGGTTTCTTTCTCAGTTCCTAAAAGAGGGGTCTTTTCCTTCCACCTCTGGAGGAGTCAATGGCTCAGAAACTTAGGTCTCGAACATGGTTTGTATTATTAATAAACCTCCTTGTACCTTTATTCTCGGCCACAAACCACTCTCAAGCTTCATCCCCCAATACAGTCTAAAGGCCAAACCAAGCAGGCCAAATATACATTTCTGTAGTTTTCTCCTGTTCTGGATAGAATATCGGGAAAGCAGTGACACCACCAACCTTTTCAACTGCAAGTTGTGCCAGTTCAACAAGGAAGGAAACATTTCTAGGTACTTGGTTCCAAAAGGTTCAAGGAAAACAGGAGAACATGAGTAGCAACATTAAGATCTTTGAACACTGACCCCTCCCGTGCCTACAGTCTCTCTTTTCTCTCTCAAAGCAGCAATGAGCAAAATAATGAGATACCACTGCTCACCCGGGATGACACAAATGAAAATAACCCATTGTATCCAGTGTTGGTGGAGTGTAGGAAAACAGGCTCCACATACCCTGTAGGTGGGAGTGAAAATGGATACGGCTTTCTTGTAGGGCAGCAGAAAAATACACCTGATCTTTAGCCTAATAGTTCTGCTTCTTAGTATCCACTCTGGAAAAATAATGGCACTGGTGTCCCTAGAGGCATCAGTAAGACTGTTTGTGATGAAGACAAACTGGAGGCAACCACAAGGTCCATTAGGAGAGGACCAAGTAGGAGGTAAGAAGACTCAGCATAACTGAGCTTGCTGATGTGGAAAATGTCCCCTTGATCTTAAGTGAAAAAACAATATAAAGTATAGTTCTGTTTATTTGTATTTTTAAACATACATACCCAAATCATACATTTTCATACACAAACATATACATGCACTCAATATATGTATCAGATGATACTTCTAGGAGCAAAGGGCTTTGGGGTGAGGGGGGTTTGATTTTTCAGGACTGTTTATATGATTACTTCCTAATTTATTTTTAAAAAGAAGCTGTGTGGTGATGGCTGAACAGCTCTGCAAATACACTACAAATCACTGAACTATACATGTGAGAAATAGGTGAATTTTACAGTATGAAAACCACATTTGAATAAAGCTATTAAAATAATTTGAATAAAAAGGATGATGAGGGGTGCCTGGGTGGCTCAGTCGGTTAAGCGTCTGCCTTCGGCTCAGGTCACGATCCCGGATTCCTGGGATCAAGCCGGGATCAAGCCGGGATCGAGCCCCACATAGGGCTCCCTGCTCAGCAGGGAGTCTGCTTCTCCCTCTGCCCCTCACCCAGCTCGTGCATGCTCTCTCTCTCTCTGAAATAAATAAATAAAATCTTTAAAAAAGAAAAAAGGATGATGATGTGGATGACGGAGAAAAAAATGTTAAGGCCATGAAAAACAAGGAAAGACCAAGAAAATGTCACAGACAAGAGACAAAGAAGACACAACAATTAAATGCAATGTGCTGTCCTAGATCGGATCCTTGAGTGGAAAAAAGACATTTCGTGGAAGAACTGAGGGAATATGAACAAAGTCTACAATTGTATTAATAGGATTGTACCAATGTTAATTTCTTAGTTTTGATAACTGTACTATAGTTATATAAAACATTATCATTAAAGGAAGCCGGGTAAGAACTCTATACTATCTTGGCAACTCTTACATAAATGTAAAATTATTAAGAAAGAAAGAAAACAGCAGCAAATATGCTCAGCTGAGCTATGTGGACACCCACACAGGCTCACTGCCATTCCCCCATGGCCCACTCTCTGCTTTGGGAAAGAAGAACCCATTTTTTTCTTTTAATCCTTTATCTATAAGCTTTGGAAGTTGTCCTTTCTCACCCCCTTCCCCAGTTTTACCTAAGTTTTCCCCCCAAAGGCACAGCGGACAGGCACAGTACCTGTTCCCCACCAAGGCAATGGCACAGAGGTCCCCCTTCTGTACCTGCGGCAGACCGGCAGGGGGCACCACCAGGCCTGGAAGCATCAAATCTGTGGCAAACAAGACAAAAGCATCACAACGCACATTGTGCCTCTAACCAATTCCAAGTTTTACTTCATCATTTATGCATTCACTCAACCAACAAACACTTATGAAGTATCAACTAGGTTATTGATAATGAAAATTAAATGCGGGGCGCCTGGGTGGCTCAGTCGGTTAAGCGTGTGCCTTCAGCTCAGGTCATGATCCCAGGGTCCTGGGATCGAGCCCCGCATCGGGCTCCCTGCTCCGCGGGAAGCCTGCTTCTCCCTCTCCCGCTCCCCCTACTTCTGTTCCCTCTCTCGCTGTGTCTCTCTCTGTCAAATAAATAAATAAAATCTTTAAAAAAAAAAAAAAAAAAAGAAAGAAAATTAAATGCAACCTAAGCATCAGACCTTTTCCCTTTGGGGGGGGCTAGTGGTCAAACTGAAGCACCAAGCTGACAGTCAGGTTCCATGATCTCTTATTCTGCTTTCCAAAATTTAGCTTATTGATTTAAAGTATAGCATATGGTTCACAAAGCATTTTCTGATTTAAGTACAAAGTACGAAGCTTATTGAGGCCTTTCAACAGGGTCCTAGCGGCCCAGGGACCTTATGGAAGCAGCCAAGTGAGGGAGGAAACACACATGGGGAAAAAATTCCATTTTTCAATTGTATGAATACAGGAAATGGGTGCATATATTAAAGTAGTTGGCCCTTACTAAGTAGGTTTTGGCCAATAGCCAGAATATAGGAAAATCCTCTTACCTGCTCCCCCGACCAGTTTTTCGAGCACCAGAGGCCATGTTGTGAACGTTGGGAGAAGGTCAGGATAGGACCACAAGGTGTATACTGCCCAAAAAGAGACACAGAAAGACTTATTGCCAAAAGGTCAATCCCCTAGGGAACTGGCAAGCCAAACACTAAGGGCACTTAAATTAAGAAATAGAAAAGAAACTCAACTCAAAGCTAGAGGGGAGGCTGTGAGGCCCAAAGAGGTTTCCTTCTTAAAGCAGGCAGATACTTAAAAAACTGGATGTCCCTCGAGACTGGGAGGCCCCTATGATTCCACCTGGATGCGGCAGCAAAATGGGCACGGTAGATAAAAGCGGGGACAGAGACCCAACAAGGATGCCATCTGTGACCTCAGAAGCAAGTAAGCGAAGAACAGGGCGCCAGCCTGTAGGAAATGTTGAAACCTCCCCATGTTTATTATTTTTATTCCCTCTGTGTTCACAGTGATTAGCAGTAAAACCTGAGATCAAAAAGGGCCTGTCTGTAGAGCCGCCAAGTGGAGTGGGGGCACAGGGAACCGAAGGCGACCGCGTTGCGCCGCTGCCGCCAAGCTTGGGGGAGAAGAGCCCCAAGTGACAAAGTAGGCGTCAGCAGCTACGGAAAAGAGAAAAGGACTCTGAATGTCTGAGATCTGTGACAAAGAGAGAAAGCAAAGGATCCTGAGAGCCGGGCAGAGCCTCAGAAAGAATCCTGTGAGGTATCTCGATTGAAGTACATCAGTAAGACAGCTGGGTATGTAGTTTAATTAACCTAGCTTCCTTCCTATCACCGTATCTCTTCAGTTTCTTAAGAAAATCCTGCTAATGAAGTTTTAAGAATATTTTTTACATGTCCTGAAATCCCACCCTTTTCAAGACCTCTGCTCCATCCCTACTTAACCCACTATGAATTATTATTCCTTCATCTCAGAACGTCCCTTGCCAACTTATCCTCTTCCTGTGTTAGCCCTGTTATTCTCCCTCCTGTAGCAGTTCTTGATCTTGAAAGACCCAATTCTAGGGACACTGGGTCCAAAAAGACCCTTAGGGATGATATTGGGAGATTTTGCACTTCACGTTTTAAGTAAGGCAGTTTAATGAAAGAAAGGAGAAACAGATGGTAGGCAAGGATGATAGTAATGGCCATCTCCATCCTATTGACATACCTGTTGGATACAGGTTTTTCTCCAGTTCAAATAGGATGGGGTTGCCACCACACACGTACACAGTCACTGCATCCCCTCTGTGAGCATACAACTTCACAACGTTGAGCTCTTCCTTTCCAGGTACTAAGGCAGGGACCTGATCTCTTCCAAGAGTGGGGAAAGCAGTGGTCACATCAGCCCGAAGCTTTCTCCTGCAGAGAGCAAACCAGTACCTGGCGTGAGTCCTGCCTGGACGGATTTTAATACATAGGAAGGACTCCGAAGGACTTCCTATAGAATCACAAGGGCCAAGGAAAAGCTGGTTGATGATGCCCCATTCTCATACACTCTTCCAAAACATCCTATTCTCTTTCTCATCCAATGTCTCATCTATTTTCACATATTCCTGGGGGCAAGTCTTTCCGTTTTACAAAGAAAGAGGACAACTGAGAACCAGCGAGTAACCAGGTTAGCAGGACTAGAAACCCAGCCCTACCTTCCAGACTCCATGCCTCGCCCTTGGACCCACCCCTTTCCTCACATCTGCCCGGCGCATCTGTCAGTTTATGGTTAAAAAGCTATACGAGGGCACCAAGAGTGACTAGAGAACACTGGTTCCAAAATTCGCAACGTGGTATCAGCATCTGCAACACTGCGTAACAGACCCAGCTCTTAAAACGTGGCCCTTAATTAATTCTCTCCCACTTCACCCTCCATCTGTCTCTCCTGCCAGAAGTAACCGCCACACCCTTTTTCTCCCGTAGTTGTAGTTCCCGGTGCCCCTCTGATTTTTCCTAAGGGACTCGAAGCTCTTTGGAGGGCGGGGAACCTGCAATCCTTCGTGTTTGACCCCTCAACACCTTATGTCGACCGCAGTCAGTAAGCGCTGGCTGAATTACGTTTTCCTTTAAACTAACTAGAATATCCAAAAGACAGCCCGGGAGACAAACCAGGCCTGCTCTCCCTCTTCGCCCTCAAAATGAGTCTAACCCACCCCCGCTCCCCGGCTGGACGTTCCCTCGGCCTCCACCCCAGGTCGGCTGAGCTAGCTCAGAGAGGCAGTGGGCCAGCCTCTGCGCTGAGAAATGTCGGGGTGCCCTGGCGGGCGGAGCAGGCCCCGCCTCTCCCTCACCTGTCCGGCCCCTTCTCTCCCTCACCTGTCCGACCCCTTGATGGCCGTGTTGGACTTGACCCGAAAGGCCTTGGCAAACATGTCTGCTCGAGTGGCCTGGGGAGGGGAAGGAGAGCACAGAAGCCGGGACCGTCAGGGAAACGAGAACGCGGAGGCTTCCCGACCCGCAGCCCTGGGGGCAGCCATGCTGGGGCCCAGCTGGAAAAGGGGCCCGGCTGGAAACCTGGGCCGCTCGGCTTCGCGGCCACAGGCGCTGCGGGGACCGCGGCCGGCCCCTAGTGGCAAGGCCGGGAACTGAAGCAGGGCGGGCGGGGCCTGGGGAAGGCGGGGCGGATTCCCTCTCGGTCGCCCTCCCTCGGCCCGGCTCTGCGCCTGCGCGAGCTGCTGGCGTCGGCCGGTGTCTATTGACCCCGTCGTGGCAACCTTGACCCGGTTAGTTTGCCCTCGGTCGGTGTTAGGTTGTGTTCGGTCGGTACCGTGTCAGCCTCCGTGCCGTTCAGTTTAGTTCAGCTCCACAAAATTAATTGAACTCTTGTGTTTTATTAGTTTTGCAGGCCTCTCGAATTATTTTAAGGGCTTTTGTACATGAAAGTCTTTACATTTTATCGTACGCTAGAGGTCCAGGATTTTCTCCTTGTTTTTAAATTTACGTGAAATGATAATAACAATAACAGAGAATCCACCCTTGTCCCAGGTTTGCCCCGCATGTTATGAGGAGAAAACTACAAATGATCGTCAAGGCTACTTAAGAATATTTTTGGCCACTTTTAGGTAAATTTTTCAAAGCGTTATTGATTTTTGAGTTCAGGCTTTATTTGAAGAGGGGAGGTTGTTTCCCAAACTAAAGGAATAACCTTGCTTATAAAAAAAAGATCTGTGAGGCAGATTAGGTTCAAATTATGGTTTGGCTTTTCCCTTCCAATGTGATCACGGGCTAGGGCTTATTTCTGAAACTCCTGCATTCTCTGAAAGATTTGGATGTAACACCTACCTCCTAGGGTTTCCATTAGAAAGGATGGAGGTAATGTATGTGATAACGTTACACAGTGCTTTGCGGATTTCCAGTAATATATTTAAAAAGTCTCCGACAGGGGTGAGAGATGGGCTTCCCTGAGAGGGGCTGCTGTGCGCACCTGGGGTTCGGGCACCTACTAAATTAAATTTTGCATATGAAAAGTTAAGGGCAGAGTGTCCATCCACCAAGAAAAAAAATCCTAATTGTTTGATTGGATGACACAGTTACACAAAGAAAAATTCCACATTGACTGTCCAAAGATGAGGCCTTCCACAGTGTCTGCCCACCACCACCATTCTTGGAGGGGGTTCTAATCCCACCTAGCCCCCCACCCCCCCGCCCCCAATTTGGGTTCCTCCTACACTTCTGAGCCACTAGACTTTTATTCTGAAGCATCCCAGCAACAAGGCCAAAGTCAGAGGAGCCCAGAGGAGGACAATGCCACAGAACCTTCTCTCTTTGGGCCCCGGCCCCAGCAACACTTCGCGGGTGTGTGTGTGTGTGTGTGTGTGTGTGTGTTGGGTGTGGGGGGGATGATGCCAGACTGTGTTGCTGACTAGGTCGATTGCAGCACAGCTACTGAGGTTGCTGAGGAAGGTTATTCACGGGAATATTGGAACTAGATACTAAAATAAATAAATACGAAAACACATTATAGATAAATGTGTAAAATAATCTCCCTTCTCTATAAAAAAAGGAGATTAATGAACACTGGAATGATGTCAGAAACTAATAAAAATATAACTTTATTAAATGAGGGATCAGATATGATGGAAGTAAGACTACTCGGCATACTTCTCATATTACTTTGACTTTTGAAGCCTGTAGGTGTTTGAACCACCTGGGTGCCTCAGTTGGTTAAGTGTCTGACTCTTGGTTTTCGGCTCAGGTGATGATCTCAGGGTGGTGAGATTGAGTCCCACACTGGGATCATGCTCCGCTGGGAGTCTGCTTGAGTTTTTCTTTCTCTCCCTCTGTTCATCCCCCCTTTCTCTCTCTCCCTGAAATAAATAAATAAATAAAATCTTTAAAAAAATGTAGGTGCTTTTCATATTTTTAAGTTTAGCTTAAAAGAGAAAAGCAAAATCTAAAATTGAAAAAAAATACTAACGCAAATAAGTGTAAAGCTCTATTAATCAGAGTTAAGAATTATTTCAAGTCATTTTTGAAGAGAGTAATTACACTCACAGTCAAACATCCTGGGACAAAATAAATGCAAAGACATTTTAACCTTCATTCAGCAGTTTAACTGCTAATAGTAATGTTTGCATTATACTCTTAATATTATTTCTAAAAATTCTGAAATATAAGAAATATAAGAATATATGAATAAAGAGAAAAGACAGAAAGTGTATTTAAAAGTTTCTTAGCCCTGTATTATTTATAACTCTGAATTGTAAGATCCAAAAGGAGCTAATGAATTTTAAATTTCATTTCTCTTTCAGATTTCTGACAAGCAAAAAGACATTTAATGACATTCCCATCTAGTACCAATAACACAGTTCTTGTATTCTAAACACTATTTCCCAATAAAAAGAATCAGACCTCTTTGGAAAGCTGTATGACTATGGGTGTTGGTCAGGGAAGTATACAGCAAGCCTGGAACATTGTGTTGTGCTAAAAAGAAATGAAACAGTCAAAGACTAGTGGGTATAACAAAGCAATCAGGAGCCAGTTTCAAGAGGCACTCACTAGCCAAATTTGGGGTAATTTGAGCTTCAAAGAATAATGACTATAATTGTTTGTGACAAATTGAATAAGTAAAAATTCATGAATCCATGCTGATTGAATGTTAAAAAAAAAAAAAAAGAAAAAATCTTTAAAGCCATCACAGGTCACTATCATCAAGTCCTTATTCCAAAAATTGGAAATTAAAGAGCAAAAATAAAGATTTACCAAATCTTTTTAGGTAAAAGTTTAAGGAGTTGGCAAATTAACACTCACCTTTACATAAGACAATTAATAAGTGCAGAAAAAGAATAGAATTTGTCTTAAAAATCACTATTTTGTAGCCAACAATGAAAACGATTAGTTATAGGCTATACTGATTACAGGTTAAGTGTCCTAAATAGATTCCACAAGCATTAGGTGAAAGGTTTTGGAGAAATAGTATATATACCAATATTAACAGCAAAGATAACTTGCCAATTGTAACAATGTCCTTTAAACATGAGAAACCTGGCTGTCACTTGTGATTCAGATTTAGATAAACTGGCTCCATTATAGACAGCCAGGTTACTCATTCTAAGAATGCCACTTGATTTGATGCAAAATGAAGTAACAAGATATCACCTTAAAATATATTTACCTTAATTATATCTTTATTTTCATCTTAAAGTTTTCATGTTTTTGAGAAGTTAAAAATGTTTACAGTCAAGTGATTTTAACTAATTATGTTGTTTGAAATGTATGAACATAAAAATCATATTTCAGACTCTTGCGGTTGAATGTTTCCAAAACCAAATCATGAAGATGTCATTAGCTTTGAAGATCATTACCAAAGAGGTCCCCATAATTCTCAACATATATTGCCTTACTTTTAATATATCTTTATTTTATTTTATTTTTAAAAAGATTTATTTACATATTTAAGTAATCTCGCCACCCAACGTGGGGCTCATACTCACGACCCTGAGATCGTGAGCACACTCCACCGGATGAGCCTGCCAGGCACCCCATTAAAATAACCACCTTTACTGTGGTTCAAAGCTGATACATATTAAAGACAGAAAACATGGAAAATACAGGTGAGCCTTAAGGACTTAACCACCAACTCTTACCCCTAGCATCTCTAAATTCAACTGTAGTTATTATAAATATTTTATTGTACTTCCTGACAATCTTTGTTCTATACACATTTTGTGTGTTCAAAGCATACTATGTATTTGTGTGTGTGTGTGTGTGCATGTGTATGTTTATACTTGATACCAGATTTTTTGGATCACTTTTCATGTTATATTATGACAGGTATGTACCCAATTAGATTCTAATTTCTCTTTATGATTTGTTTGAATTTTTATGTGTGCTAGATAGCCATCTTGTAGAAGATCTTGCATTTCATCATTTGATGGATAAGCAAAAGTAGATAATAACTGCTTATATCTGGTAGATAAGCAAAAGCTAATAATTACTTACATCTTATTACTAACATAGGTATGACATAGTTATGTTTTTATGTATTTTTGAAGTAAAATTATATTAAAGATGGAGAAAAGCATTTTCAACCATTTCCTCTGAAATGGAGAGTCTCAGGCAGCCCCAGAAGTTATGGAAGAAGGTATGAGAAAGAGGGAAAGATGGATGGAAGTAGGCATTGGAGTGATTGAATCTAATTTCTTGCCATAGATATTTTATGAGTGGGACACAAAGAATTTTGGTTTGCCAAGTTTTAATGAGGCGCTTTTAAGAAGTGATTTATTCATCTCTCTGATTATAATTACATCATCCACATAATATTTAATACTTCTGATTTATGAATATAAATGAGTTACACAATACTTGACAAAATAAACTGAGAATTGGATTGATAATGAAAAATTCTGAGTAAATGTACATATTTTAATTTTAGGACTGCATCTTCACCACTGTATTACCAACATTGAGGATACGTCAGTTTTCCTTCCCGACAGGTGGCTCGGAATGTATGCAGTGGGGTCTTTTTATGATGTCCAGGGATACATTCAAATTCAATAACATCCCTCGTTTTAGAATAAAGTTTTGGCTCAGAAGACCATCGAAATCGTATATTATGTGTTCTCATTGTGTCTTCTGATACTGTACAGGCCTCTGAAGAAAAAAAAAAAAGATAAAACATTGAAAACAGAATTTCAGACGTTTTTTTAAAGATTTTTTTTGAAATTTTTATTGAAAAAAAATTTTTAAATTTTATTATGTTATGTTAATCACCATACATTACATCATTAGTTTTTGATGTAGTGTTCCATGATTCATTGTTTGCATATAACACCCAGTGCTCCATTCAATATATGCCCTCTTTAATACCCATCACCAGGCTAACCCATCCCCCCACCCCCCTCCCTTCTAGAACCCTCAGTTTGTTTCTCAGAGTCCATAGTCTCTCATGGTTCATCTCCCCCTCCGATTTCCTCCCCTTCATTTTTCCTTCCTACTATCTTCTTCTTTTTTTTTTTTTTTTAACATATAATGTATTATTTGTTTCAGAGGTACGGGTCTGTGATTCAACAGTCTTACACAATTCACAGTACTCACCATAGCACATACCCTCCCCAGTGTCTATCAACCAGCCATCCCATCCTTCACAAATGCCGCCTGGCATGCCGCCAGCTTTGCTTTTCTTTTTCAACATTCCTGTGGCTATTCGGGGTCTTTTCTGGTTCCATACAAATTTTAGGATTATTTGTTCCATTTCTTTGAAAAAAGTGCATGGTATTTTGATGGGGATTTCATTGAATGTGTAGATTGCTCTAGGTAGCATTGACATCTTCACAATATTTGTTCTTCCAATCCATGAGGATGGAATGTTTTTCCATTTCTTTGTGTCTTCCTCAATTTCTTTCATGAGTATTCTATAGTTTTCTGAGTACAGATCCTTTGCCAATTTGGTTAGATTTATTCCTAGGTATCTTATGGTTTTGGGTGCAATTGTAAATGGGATCGACTCCTTAATTTCTCTTTCTTCTGTCTTGTTGTTGGTGTATAGGAATGCCACTGATTTCTGTGCATTGATTTTATATCCTGCCACTTGACTGAATTCCTTTATGAGTTCTAGCAGTTTTGGGGTGGAGTCTTTTGGGTTTTCCACATGAAGTATCATATCATCTGCAAAGAGTGAGAGTTTGACTTCTTCTTTGCCGATTTGGATGCCTTTGATTTCTTTTTCTTGTCTGATTGCTGTGGTTAGGACTTCGAGTACTATGTTGAATAGCAGTGGTGATAGTGGACATCCCTGCCACATTCCTGACCTTAGGGGGAAAGCTCTCAGTTTTTCCCCATTGAGAATGATATTCGCTGTGGGTTTTTCTTAGATGGCTTTTATGATATTGAGGTATGTACCCTCTATGCCTATACTCTGAAGAGTTTTGATCAAGAAGGGATGCTGTACTTTGTAAAATGCTTTTTCTGCATCTATTAAGAGGATCATATGATTCTTGTTCTTTCTTTTATTAATGTATTATATCACATTGATTGATTTGCAGATGTTGAACCAAACTTGCAGCCCAGGGATCAATCCCACTTGGTTGTGGTGAGTAATCCTTTGAATGTACTGTTGGATCCTATTGGCTAGTATTTTGGTGCGAATTTTTACATCCATGTTCCTCAGGGATATTGGTCTGTAATTCTCCTTTTTGATGGGGTCTTTATCTGGTTTGGGGGTCAAGGTAATGGTGGCCTCATAAAACGAGTTTGGAAGTTTTCTTTCCACTTCTATTTTTGGAACGGAAGAATAGGTATTAATTCTTCTTTAAATGTTTGGTAGAATTCCCATGGGAAGCCATCTGGCCCTGGGCTTTTGTTTGTTGGGAGATTTTTGATGACTGCTTCAATTTCCTTAGTGGTTATAGGTCTGTTCAGGTTTTCTATTTCTTTCTGGTTCAGTTTTGGTAGCTTATACATCTCTAGGAATGCATCCATTTCTTCCAGATTATCTAATTTGCTGGCATAGAGTTGCCCATAATATGTTCTTATAATTGTTTGTATTTCTTTGGTGTTGGTTGTGATCTCTCCTCTTTCATTCAAGATTTTGTCGATTTGGGTCATTTCTATATCCTTTTTGATAAGTCTGGCCAGGGGTTTATCAGTCTTATTCTTTCAAAGAACCAGCTCCTAGTTTCATTGATCTGTTCTACTGTTCTTTTGGTTTCTATTTCATTGATTTCTCCTCTGATCTTAATTATTTCTCTTCTCCTGCTGGGTTTAGGCTTTATTTGCTGTTCTTTCTCTAGCTCCTATAGGTGTAGGGTTAGGTTGTGTGTTTGAGACTTTTCTTGTTTCTTTTTTTTTTCTTTTTCTTTTTTTTAAAGATTTTATTTATTTATTTGAGAGAGCGAGAATAAGAGAGAGTACATGAGAGGGAGGAGGGTCAGAGGGAGAAGCAGGCTCCCTGCTGAGCAGGGAGCCCAATGCGGGACTCGATCCCAGGACTCCAGGATCATGACCTGAGCCGAAGGCAGTCGCCCAACCAACTGAGCCACCCAGGCACCCGACTTTTCTTGTTTCTTGAGAAAGGCTTGTATTGCTATATACTTTCCTTATAGGACTGCCTTTGCTACATCCCAGAGATTCTGAACAGTTGTATTTTCATTTTCATTTGTTTCCATGATTTTTAAAAAAATTCTTCTTTAATATCTTGTTTGACCCATTCATTCTTTATTAGAATGCTCTTTAGCCTCCATGTATTTGAGTTCTTTCCAACTTTCCTTTTGTGATTCAATTCTAGTTTCAAAGCATTGTGGTCCGAAAATAGGCAGGGAATGATCCCAATCTTTTGGTACTGGTTAAGACCCGATTTGTGACCTAGGATGTGATCTATTCTGGAGAATGTTCCATGGGCACTAGAGAAGAATGTGTATTCTGTTGCTTTGGGATGGAATGTTCTGACTATATCTGTGAAGTCCATTTGGTCCAGTGTGTCATATAAAGTCTTCATTTCCTTGTTGATCTTTTGCTTAGATGATCTGTCCATTTCAGTGAGGGGGTGTTAAAGTCCGCCACTCTTATTGTATTGTTGTCAATGTGTTTCTTTCCTTTTGTTATTAATTGCCTTATATAATTGGCTGCTCCCATGTTAGGGGCATAGATACTTACAATTGTTAGATCTTCTTGTTGGATAGACCCTTTAAGTAGGATATAGTGTCCTTCCCTCATCTCTTATTACAGTCTTTGGTTTAAAATCTAATTTGTCTGATCTAAGGATTGCCACCCCAGCTTTCTTTGGGTGTCCATTAGCATCGTAAATGGTTTTCCACCCCCTCACTTTCAACCTGGGGGTGTCTTTGGGTCTAAAATGAGTCTCTGGCAGACAGCATATTGATGGGTCTTGTTTTTTAATCCAATTTGATAACCTGTGTCTTTTGATTGGGGCATTTAGCCCGTTTACATTCAGGGTAACTATTGAAAGATATGAATTTAGTGCCACTGTATTGCCTGTAAGGTGACTGTTACTGTATATTGTCTGTGTTCCTTTCTGGTCTATGTGGCTTTTAGGCTCTCTCTTTGCTTTGAGGACCCCTTTCAATATTTCTTGTAGGGCTGGTTTCGTGTTTGCAAATTCCTTTAGTTTCTGTTTGTCCTGGAAGATTTTTATCTCTCCTTCTATTTTCAATGACAGCCTAGCTGGATAGAGTATTCTTGGCTGCATATTTTTCTCATTTAGTGCTCTGAATATATCATGCCAGTCCTTTCTGGCCTGCCAGGTCTCTGTGGATAGGTCTGTTGCCAATCTAATGTTTCTACCATTGTATGTTACAGATCTCTTGTCCTGAGCTGCTTTCAGGATTTTCTCTTTGTCTCTGAGACTTGTAAGTTTTACTATTAGATGTCTGGGTGTTGACCTATTCTTATTGATTTTGAGAGGGGTTCTCTGTGCCTCCTGGATTTTTATGCCTGTTTCCTTCCCCAAATTAGGGAAGTTCTCTGCTATAATTTGCTCCAATATACCTTCTGCTCCTCTCTCTCTTTCTTCTTCTTCTGGGATCCCAATTATTCTAATGTTGTTTTGTCTTATGGTATCGCTTATCTCTCGAATTCTGCCCTCGTGATCCAGTAGTTGTTTATCTCTCTTTTTCTCAGCTTCTTGATTTTCCATCATTTGGTCTTCTATATCACTGACTCTCTCTTCTGCCTCTTTTATCCTAGCAGTTAGCACCCCCATTTTTGATTGCACCTCATTAATAGCCTTTTTGATTTTGACTTGGTTAGATTTTAGTTCTTTTCTTTCTCCAGAAAGGGTTTCTCTAATAACTTCCATTCTTTTTTCAAGCCCAGCTAGTATCTTTAAAGTGATGATTCTGAACTCTAGATCTGACATCGTACTAATGTCCGTATTGAGTAGGTCCCTGGCAGTCGGTACTACCTCCTGTTCTTTTTCTTGAGGTGATTTTTTCTGTCTTGTCATTTTGTCCAGAGGAGAATAGATGAATGAGAGAACAACATGCTAACAGGGTAAGAATGACACCAGAAAAATATACACTAAACAAAAGAGACCTGAAATGGGCAGAAAAGGAAGGGAAAGAAAGAAAAAAGAAAAAAAAAAAAGGAAAAGAAAAAGATGAAAAAAAAGAATATGATCAAATATGATCAGGCTGGTGAATAGATCAGTCCCACACACTAGATATTGGGCATATTTTGGTCTCTTAGAAGAAACTGCCTCCCAAAATTTTGAAGAAAGAAAAGCTTATATATGTACAAAAATAAGGGTAAATACGATGAAGGGATGGAATATGACTGTAAAGATGAAAATTATAAAAGATTTTATAAAAGGAATTGATAAGGTAAGAAGTTGGTTGAAAAAAGAAAGAAGGAAATTAAAAAAAAAAGGGGTGGGGGAGAGAATTTGATCAGGCAGGAGACTAGAACAAAGGCATACAGTAGAGATTTAAGGTATATTTTGGTCTGTTAGAAGAAACTGTATCCCAAAATTTTATTTTATTTTATTTTTTTAAAAGATTTTATTTATTTATTTGACATAGTGACAGAGAGCAGAAGCAGGAAGAGCAGCAGAGGGAGAAGCAGGCTCCCTTCTGAGCAAGGAGCCTGATACGGGACTTGATCCCAGGACCCTGGGATCATGACCTGAGCTGAAGGCAGATGTTTAACTGACTGAGCCACCCAGGCATCCCCTGTATCCCAAAATTTTAAAGAGAAAACAACTTCTATATATACCAAAAGTAAGGTTAACTACTATGAAGGGATAGAATATGACTCTAAAAATGAAAAATAAAAAAGATTCTTAAAAAAGGGACTGATAAAGTGTTGGTTGAAAAAGGGAAAAAGAAAAATTAAAAAAAAAGAAAAAGAAAATTAAGAAAATTGGAGACTAAAGAATCATGGGAAAAAAGCCATTAATTCTATGTGCAGTATTCCCCTAGTGCTGGAGTTCTGCCATTCTCATTGATCGGTAAACTTGGTCTTGGCTGGCTGTTCTTGCTGATCTTCTGGGGGAGGGGCCCGTTGCCGTGGTTCCCAAATGTCTTTGCCGGAGGCGGAATTTCCCTGCCCTTGCCGGTCCGGGCTAAGTAATCAGCTTGGGTTTGCTCTCAGGAGCTTTAGTTCCCTGCAAGCTTTCCATACAGCTTTGGAGGCCAAGAGTGAAAATGGCGGCCTCCAAATCTCCACCCCAGAGGAGCCGAGAACTCAGAGCCCCTCTCCTGAGTGAGCCCCCAGAGCCGCACTCCGTGCTCACCTGGCCTTGACCAGGTGTTTCTATCTCTGGTACCCGACTCAGTGTGGAGTCTCCAAACCCAGCAGATCCCTGCGGTGCATTCCTGCACCGCTTCTTCTGGGGGAGGAAGGGGTGTCTCCCCGGATCTGCCGCTCGTTGGGTCCCTGCTGGAGGAGCAGTGGCCCGGCTGTGCCTTGGAACACGGTTTATGGCAACCCCGAGCTGAGAGCCCGCGCCTCGGCTCAGTCTCTGCAGCCAGCTTCCCCGCTCCAATACCTGGGAGCTCTGCTGCACTCAGGGACCCCTGGTCTTTCTGTGACACCGAGGGTCCTGAGACCACAGTGTCCCAGTGAGGGTTCCACCCCCCGCTTAGCCACTGGAGTGACATCCCTCAGTGGAACCGACTTCTACAAGTTCCAATTTTGTGCTCCGCTGTGCTATCACTTGCCAGAAGCGGCTGATGTAGGCCCCCTCCCCTGCCGTCTATCCTCCTGAATATCACCTCGGATTCACTTCTCTGCACGTCCTACCTTCCAGAAAGTGGTCGCTTTTCTGTTCAGAGAGTTGCTGCTATTCTTTTTTTTGATCTCCTGTTGAGTTCATAGGTGTTCAGAATGGTTTGATCCCTATCTAGCTGAACTCCTGGGACCAGACCAAATTTAGGTCTCCTACTCCTCCGCCATCTTGCTCCTCCCCCCGAAACTTTTTAAAATATTTTATTTATTTATTTGACACTTACAGAGAGAGAGAGAGTGAGCACACAAGCAGGGGGAGAAGCAGAGGGAGAGAAGCAGACTCGCTGCTGACCAGGGAGCCTGACGTGGTGCTCCATCCCAGGACCCTGGGATCATGAACTGAGCTGAAAGCACACGCTTAACCATCCAGGTGCCCCAGAATTTCAGACTTTCAAGTAGAATCTTCTACACTGGCCCATGGCTTCATTTTCAAAACCTTTTCCACACCAATTCACTGAAAACCCATCGTGTTGATTTAAATCACTTTAAATGATTAATGATGTAAAATGAGGTACTATGTTTAAGGTGTGATAATTAAATGTTTTAATCAAAGATTCACAATGTCAATTTTAACATGAAGAAATCGAGTCCTTTCACTTAAGGATATTTTGCTAGAACAAGAACTTTTTTTCCCCAACTTTTTCTTCTTCACACATTAGTATTTGGTAGTCAGCATTCAACAAATGTTTGTTAATCCATGAACATTATATTAATAACAACAAAACACCTATTATACTGATTTTCCCAGGACCCATGAGAATATTGAAATATTTACCTAAGCATTTTGGTGGTGATGACCACTGTCCATTTCTACATCTTATGGTCTTGTGTCCCTGAAGTACATAGAAGGACTGGCATTTGTACTCTACTGATGATCCCGGAGCATATGTTGATGATGGGAATGAGGTAATGTCTCCATTGTCAATAGGTGGAGGAGGCCCACATTTTCCTTTAGGATCTAAAAAAAAAAAATATTTATTTGATTTATTGAAAAACCAAAGAAAAACAGGTTAAAATAAATCAAATAAAAATATAGCACAATACTCAATATCAAGACCTGTGATTTCTGTGGACAGAAAGGATTCACTGAAGAAATTTTATTTTATTTTATTTTTTAAAGATTTTATTTGGGACGCCTGGGTGGCTTAGTCAGTTAAGCATCTGCTTTCAGCTCGGGTCATGATCCCGGGGTCCTGGGATCGAGTCCCACATTGTGCTCCTTGCTCAGCAGGGAGCCTGCTTCTCCTTCTGCCTGATGCTTCCCCTGCTTGTGCTCTCCCTCTCTCTCTCTGACAAATAAATAAATACTTATTTATTTGAGAGAGAGAGAGTCAGCGAGAGAGAGAGCACAAGCCCAGAGGGAGAGGCAAAGGGAGAAGCAGATTCCCCGCTGAGCAGAGAGCCCTGGGATCATGACCTGAGCCAAAGGCAGACGCTTAGCCAACTGAGCCACCCACGCACCCCCACTGAAGAAATTTTAATCACTTAAACTGAGAATTACAATTCTAAGGCTTTCCTTTTATCCCACATGAAAGCACACATGAAGCATTAACAAATATATCTGCTTTATGTATTCTGGTGTTAAAAAATGTTTTTCTTACTGAATAAATACTGGACAGATGGATAGCTAATGGAAACAAAGAAACTTTCTTGTTACATACAACATACTGCAGTGTCTATTGGATCTCTAGTTATTGCTTATTGATTTTCATTTACTTTATAAAGGGAACATCAACTTCTTTAATTAAAGTCAAAGAATCACACATTTGTATAATGGGAAAGAGAATTGCTGGCTTCCTGTTCTGGACATGATGAGGTAGAGACCTTTCTGCTTATTCCTTCTCAGTATGACTAAAAATATAAAAACCAACAAAAGAGATGGTGAAGGATGTAGAGAAGACGTCGATCTGATCAGAGGCTTGGTATTCAAGGAATTATACTGCAGTGAGTTGTTTGGGTTTTCATGTTGCCTCCTGTGGATCCTGGACTGGGCACTGAAGAAGACTGGAACCCAGAAATGATATCAAGTTCAGGGAAAAAAAAAAGTTCCAAGAATTGTCTGCTCTCGTTAGCCAAAGGCTCAGGAAAGGAGTATTCTAGGAAGACAGAAATATTTCTTTTTACAATAGTTGAATTACTCCTGAAAAACAGAAGAAACCTTGACCAACTCTCTCCCCACGTTGATCAGAGACCAACAGTGATCAACAGAGGTCAAGGGTGGGACCTAGACTTCTATCCACAGTCAGGAAACAAGACACCTCTCCCCTTTCCATGGTGTCAGTGGAGGCCAAGTGGGAAGCCTGGACTTGCACTCTGCAGTAGTGGAGGCCTGGTAAATAAGAGATTTCAATAAAATCCAGAATCTTAACACAACACCCGAAATGTCTAGAACACAATTGGAAATCACTCATCATACCAAGGACCAGGAAAATCTCAAAAGAGAAAAGACAATCAACAGATCACAACACGTCTTTGACACAGATACTGGAATTATTTGACGATGGTTTTTAAAATTCCAGTGGGAATTATAGAACTAAAAAATATAATAATGGAATTTAAAACAAAAACCTCACTGGATGGGCTCAATCACGGATTACAGATGACAGAAGGATAAATAAACTTGCATACAGAATACAAATTACTCACTTTGAAAATAGACTAAAAACAAAACCAAAAAAACTTCTAAAAATACTGACTGAAAATTTCCCAAATTGGGCACAAGGCATAAACATTCATATTGAAAAAGCCAAACAGGACAAACCCAAAGAAATTCATGCCAAGATAAGCCACATTCAACTGAGGAAAGCTAAAGAGAAAGAAAAAAATCTCAAAAGCAGCTACATAGAAATTATGCAAACCTCTAAGGGCAAAAGGATTCAAATGTTAGTGGGGTTCTCATCTGTGACCATCAAGCCAGAAAGAAGTGACAACATTTTTCAAGTGCTGGAAGAAAAGAACCGTCAGCCCTGAGTGCTATATACCGTGATTCTATCCTCTAGCGTTTAAGGGAGAAAAGAAGATATTCTGAGACAAAGGAAAACAGAACATTTATCTCCAGCAGATCTATCTATCTTTAAAGGATTGCTAAAGGAATTCTTCAAATATCAGGGAAAAGATAACAGAGAGAGGATTGAGACTTCATGAAGGAAAAAAACAAACAAACAATGGACTGAAAAAATAAGGGTAAATATAATGGACTCTTTTTTCCTAAGGAGTTTGTTATGTTTGATGTTTGTGAAACATTATATCATTTGATATGGTGTTCAGTATATGTAGAAGAAATACTTAAGAAACATATGTTTGAAATGTGGGGAAGGTAGGGGCGCCTGGGAGGCTCAGTCAGTTGGTTAAGTGTCCACTCTTGACTTTAGCTCAGGTCATGATCTCAGGGTTGTGAGACTGAGCCCTGTGTCAGGCTCCAAACTGGGTGTGGAGTCTGCTTAAGATTTTCTCTCTCCCTCTCCTTCTGCCACTCCACTCACTCTCTCTCTCTCTTTCTATCAATAAATAAATAATAAATAAAATAAAATAAAATGTGGAAGGGTGAATGGACCTAAGTGGAAGTAAGGTTTCCTCATTTCACCTGAAGTGGTAAAATGTCAAAACGAGGGTGGGGGGAAGGTGACAAGCATTATGTGCATCTTAATACCTTGAGCAACCACGGATAAAGCTATACAAAGAGAAATGCTCCAAAACAACAAAGACATATCAAAATAAAATTATTTTAAAATGTTCCAAAAGTCCGCAGGCACAGCCAAAAAAGAATGGGAGTGAGAAATAGAGGAAAGAAATGGAAGACAAATAATAAAATGGCTGACACAGCCCCTAATCTATCAATAATTATTTTAAGTGTAAGTGGCTTAAATATTTCAGTTAAAAGACTGAAAATGGCAGAATGGATACATAAACAAGAGCGGACTATATGGCAACTAAAAGAAACTAACTTCAACATGAAAACAGGTGGGCTCAAAGTAAAAGATTGGAAAATATATATGCCGGGCAAAAGCTGATTTGACAAACAAGCAGCTATAATATCTCCTTTGTTGGGTCCTCTTATTTCCTAAACTCTAATTACTGGAGTGTCCTATGACCAAGTTCTCAGACTTTTTTTCTATATACACTAATTCTCTGGTTGAGCTCAGCTAGTAACTTACCTTTATATAGTCCACATGCTGAAGAAGCCCAAATTTATATCAGATTCTATGAACATGCCCCAGTTGTTGATTGTGTGTCTCAAAGTGAAATTTCATAGAGCTGTCAAATGTCCTCAGTATATCATTTAAAAAAAAAGATTTTATTTATTTGTCAGAGAGAGAGAGAGAGCACAAGCAGGGGGAGCAGCAGACAGAGGGGGAAGCAGGTTCTGCTCTGACTGAGCCACTCAGCCCCCCCCCCCCATATCTTTAATACATTTATTCCTCAGGAAATAACTAAGTATCTTAATGCTTAAGATCTGGGTGCCTGGTGGCTCAGTCGATTAAATGTCTGACTCTTGATTTCTGCTCAGGTCATGATCTCAGGGTTGTGAGATCGATCCCCACAGCAGGCTCCATGCTCAGTGTGGTGTCTGCTAAAGATTCTCTCTCTCCCTTCCCTCTGCCCCTCCCCCCACTGCTCGCACTCATGCTCACACTCTCTCTCTCTAAAAATAAAAATTAAAAAAAAAGAGAATTTTCCATGATTCCAACTGTCCTAATCTGGCCAATTCTTTCATAAAATAAATAGATATCACTATGCAGTCCACAAAAAGAAAAAATTGGATTTTAAGCACCATCATTTTATTTGAGATAAAAAAAAGATTCCATAAGAACTATGTCATTATATATTTATATTGACATATCCAGTCCTTAATATATTCTCTAAAATTTGAGGGGAAATAAGATACTTTACCTGCACACTGAGGGGGTTGTGTCCAGGTCCCATTTAAACATATTACTTCTACTTCCCCAAACAGTTCAAAAGGTTTGATGCATTCATAACGGGCGCTCTGACCAGGTAGATAAGTAGGCTTCTCACTTAGTATAATAGCATTTTTCACTTTGGGTGGATTCTCACAGGAAATATCTGAATAGAAAGAAAAAAGTAGCATCTCTAACATAATGATCATTTTGAGTAGCAAATCAACGAACAGGATTCCAAATATATCTGAAGGGGGATTTAAAATCAACAGTTCATCTGTCATGAAAGAGAGTTAATTTTAAGAAATTTACATATAGGATTGAAGAAAGAGAGATAAAGCAGTATCTTTTGATAAGATTTAAGCTTCTTTGAAAATGAGAGTTTTTCTGGACATTTCCCTTTTTTAGTAAAATCAATATTACAAATTACATAAATTCAATATAAACTTATAAACCACAAGACAATAATAAAAAAAGATTATTTGATGTCAGATTTTGGCTTACAATCATCCTGTTTATGAATGTAATTTTAGGACCTTAGAAAAATAAACACAGTATGCACTTTCTTAGAGAATAAATGAAGAATTAACATACTTTGAAGAATACTATAGTTGAAGGAAAGATGATTAACTGAGGATCCAAACAGGAGATGTGGAAAAATAACAGAACAATAAATGTATAATTTATAAGAACACTCTTTAATAATTTTTTTTGCAAATTTTTTTTAAAGATTTAATTTATTTATTTAATTGACAGAGAGAGAGAGACAGCGAGAGAGGGAATACAAGCAGGGGGAGTGGGAGAGGGAGAAGCAGGCTTCCCACTGAGCAGGGAGCCTGATGTGGGGCTCGATCCCAGGACCCTGGGATCATGACCTGAGCTGAAGGCAGTCGCTTAACCAACTGAGCCACCCAGGTGCCCCCCCCCCCCCTTTTTTTTGCAAATTCTTAAAGACATTTCAATGAGTAATGTATAATTCACCAGTGAGATTCAGGTGGATGTAAAGGTAATAGCCTCTGGCTATGGTTCCTAAACTGGAGTATACATCAAATCCCTTGGAAATTGTTAAGACAATTTCAGGGTTGCAGCCTCAGAGTTTTTGACTCAACAGGTCTGAGTGAGCCAGTGAATTTACATTTGCATTTCTAACAATTTCCCAGAAGATGCTGATGCTGTTATTCCAGAGACCATAGTTTGAGAACCGTTGGGCTTTAAGATTAACAACTGAGTACACCATTTCATCCCTTTATGTTAAAGTATAAACCTTCTTTGACCTGGCCTAAAAAATAATCTATGTCCATTGTTTAAATGATGTTAGAGGGAATTCTATATTATATTACTTAAGGCATTTTGATAAATAGATTCTAAAATTTTATTGAAGTACCTTTGCATGTTGGCTTTCCTATCCATTGGCTCTTAATACACTGTACAAAATTGGGTCCATCCAATTCGTAATATTTTGGACATTTATAAGTCACTTTTTCTTCTGACTTATATGATTCCTTCATTGGGCCTATGGGTATGGCATTACCAAAATCGGGTAAGCCAAAACAGTCTGTTTCTGAAAGAAAAGAATATGTACTTGTTCAGTAAATCTTTTAAAATACATACTGACCAATAACTATAATGTAGAGTAATAGGTACACATCAAACCAATGAGCACTGTTATAAGTTGAAAAAATGTGTTAGAAGTCTTCTGATTTAATTATATTGAGTAGTCCTATGTTTATCAAAAGTAAAAGGTGGGGATGATGATGTTGGAAGCCTGAAAACATAGGGATACATGTAATGCTTGATATCACACTTCTTCCATTCAAATTCTTTTTTGCCCATACAAGCCACCTACATTATGTATGTATTTGTATTTTTTGCTTCTGTCAAAATCTGTTACTTTTAATTATGTCAAATATCTTAGAAAACTGTATACTTATAAGGAGATAACTGATAAACTAACAGTAAATTGAATAATGATGAGATCACTGAGCAGGGACCAGCTGTGGTCCAGGAATGGAGATGAGGACTCTGAGGACATTTATCAGAGGTTGTTGAATGTGCACACAAAGCAACATGAAAGTGAAATAATTTGGGCTCATGCTGTCACACTTTTATTATTCCTAGGGTTATTAGTTCTCTACCAGACTCCACAACTTTCCAGAGATACCTTGTTAAATTCTAGAATTACTGTCTGGTTTCATATTTGTACCATTTATCCTCTGAATTAAGAATATTGATCAACCTTAGAGTAAAATTAAATGCACTATACTTATGCATTTTGGTGGATGGGACCATTTTCCTCCTAAACATTTTATAGATGCAGATCCATTAATCCCAAAACCTTCGACACATTCATACACTATTTCTTCTCCATACTGGTAAGTGTCTGATTTGCGAGGTGGAATACTATGTAGAACCACATATTCTGGTGGTGCACAAGGAAGCCCTAAAAAAAAAAAGAAAGAAAGAAAGAAAGAATGACTCCATGTTTTATGAACTCTGAAATTTAGTTTTATGTACTGGATGCCATATTTGGCAATATTATTTGAAAAGGAATGATAACACAGGAGCTACAGTCATAGCAGAGAAGGTGCACAAGTGCTTCCTAATAGCACCATTCTGATGTGTCCAGCTGGCAACCAAAGCAAGAGCTTGAAACCAAAAATGTCAATATATTATCAGCTGTAGCAAATTCCCTCTAGATATGTCTCCAGAGGCAAGGGAAATAAAAGGAAAAATAAACTACTGGGACTACATCAAAATAAAAAGTTTCTGAACAGGAGCAAGATGGCAGAGGAGTAGGAGACCTGGATTTCCTCAGGTCTCAGGAATTCAGCTGGATAGGGATCAAACCATTCTGAACACCTACGAACTCAACAGGAGATCAAAGAAAAGAATAGCAACAACTCTCTGAACAGAAAAGCGACCACTTTCTGGAAGGTAGGACATGCAGAGAAGTGAATCTGAGGTGATATTCGGGAGGATAGACGGCGGGGGAGGGGCCTCCGTCAGCCGCTTCTGGCAAGTGATAGAGCCGCGGAGCACAAAATCAGAACATTTAGAAGTCTGCTCCGCTGAGGGATGTCACTCCAGTGGCTAAGCGGGGGGTGGAACCCTTGCGGGACAGTGTGGTCTCAGGACCCTCGGGGTCACAGAAAGACCAGGGGTCCCTGAGTGTGGTAGAGCTCCCAGGTATCGGAGCGGGGAAGCTGGCTGCAGAGATAGAGCCGAGGAGTGGGCTCTCAGCTCGGGGTTGCCATATACCGTGATCCCCGGCACAGTCGGGCCACTGCTCCTCCAGCAGGGACCCAACAAGTGGCAGATCCGGGGAGACTCCCCTTCTTCCCCTGGGAGGAGAGGTGCAGGAGCACACTACAGGGATCTGCTGGGTTTGGAGACTCCACACGGGGTTGGGTGCCAGAGATAGAAATGCTCAGTCACAGGCCAGGTGAGCACGGGTGTGGCTGGAGACTGGGTAGACGGGAGTGACTGACTGCTTTTCTCTGAGGGCTCACTGAGGAGCGGGGCCCCGAGTTCTCGGCTCCTCTGGGGCAGAGATTGGGAGGCCGCCATTTTCACTATCAGCCTCCAAAGCTGTATGGAGACTTTGCAGGGAACAAAAGCTCCTGAGAGCAAACCCGAGCAGATTACTTAGCCCGGACTGGGCAAGAGTGGGGCAATTCCACCTCCAGCAAAGACATTTGGGAACCATGGCAACAGGCCCCTCCCCCAGAAGATCAGCAAGGACAGCCAGCCAAGACCAAGTTTACCGATCAATGAGAACAGCAGAACTCGAGAGCTAGGGGAATACTGCACATAGAATCCATGGCTTTTTTACCATGATTCTTTAGTCTTTCCAAGTTAATTTTTTAACTGTCTTTTTTTTTTAATTTTTCTTTTTCCCTTTTTCAACCAACATCTTATCAATCCCTTTTTTAAAAAACATTTTTATTTTTCATTTTTAGAGTCATATTCTATCCTTTCATAGTAGTTACCCTTATTTTTGGCATATATATATGTTGTTCTCTCTTTTAAACGTTTGAGATATAGTTTCTTCTAACAGATCAAAATATACCCTAAATCTTTAGTGTATGGCTTTGTTCTAGTCTCCTGCCTGATCACATTCTCTCCCCCCATTTTTTTTAAATGCTCTTCTTTCTTTTTCCAAACAACTTCTTATCTTATCAATTCCTTCTTTAATATTTTTTATAACTTTCATCTTTACAGTCATATTCCATCCCTTCATCATATCAACCCTTATTTTTGCACATATATAAGTTTTTCTTTCTTTAAAAATTTGGGAGGCACTTTCATCTAACAGACCAAAATACACCCAAAATCTAGTGTGTGGCACCGATCTATACACCAGCCTGATCATATTTTATCATATTCTGTTTTTTTTGTTTTGTTCTGTTTTCGTTTGTTTTTATCTTCTTCTTTTTCTTTTTTTTTCTTTTTCTTTTCTCTCTCTTTCCCTTTCTTTTCCCCTGGTTTCAGGTCTTTTCTGATTTGTTTAGAGTATATTTTCTGGGGACACTGTTACCTGTTAGCATTTTGTTCTCTCACTCATCTATTCTCCTCTGAACAAAATGACAATATGGAAAAAATCACCTCAAAAAAAGAACAAGAGGTAGTACCGACTGCCAGGGACCTACTCAATATGGACATTAGTACGATGTTGGACCTAGAGTTCAGAATCATGATTTTAAAGATTCTAGCTGGGCTCGAAAAAAGCACAGAAGTTATTAGAGAAACCCTTCCTGGAGAAAGAAAAGAACTAAAATCTAACCAAGCTAAAATCAAAAAGGCTATTAATGAGGTGCAATAAAAATGGGGGCACTAACTGCTAGGATAAATGAGGCAGAAGAGAGAATCAGTGATATAGAAGACCAAATGATGGAAAATCAAGAAGCTGAGAAAAAGAGAGATAAACAACTACTGGATCACGAGGGCAGAATTCGAGAGATAAGCGATACCATAAGACAAAACACATTAGAATAATTGGGATCTCAGAAGAAGAAGAAAGAGAGAGAGGAGCAGAAGGTATATTGGAGCAAATTATAGCAAAGAACTTCCCTAATTTGGGGAAGGAAACAGGCATCAAAATCCAGGAGGCACAGAGAACCCCTCTCAAAATCAATAAAAATAGGTCAACACCCGGACATCTAATAGTAAAACTTACGAGTCTTAGAGACAAAGAGAAAATCCTGAAAGCAGCTTGGGAGAAGAGATCTGTAACATACAATGGTAGAAACATTAGATTGGCAACAGACCTATCCACAGAGACCTGGCAGGCCAGAAAGGACTGGCATGATATATTCAGAGCACTAAATGAGAAAAATATGCAGCCTAGAATACTCTATCCAGCTAGGCTGTCATTGAAAATAGAAGGAGAGATAAAAATCTTCCAGGACAAACAGAAACTAAAGGAATTTGCAAACACGAAACCAGCCCTACAAGAAATATTGAAAGGGGTCCTCAAAGCAAAGAGAGAGCCTAAAAGCCACATAGACCAGAAAGGAACACAGACAATATACAGTAACAGTCACCTTACAGGCAATACAGTGGCACTAAATTCATATCTTTCAATAGTTACCCTGAATGTAAACGGGCTAAATGCCCCAATCAAAAGACACAGGCTATCAGATTGGATTAAAAAACAAGACCCATCAATATGCAGTCTGCCAGAGACTCATTTTAGGCCCAAAGACACCCCCAGATTGAAAGTGAGGGGGTGGAAATCCATTTACGATGCTAATGGACACCCAAAGAAAGCTGGGGTGGCAATCCTTAGATCAGACAAATTAGATTTTAAACCAAAGACTGTAATAAGAGATGAGGAAGGACACTATATCCTACCTAAAGGGTCTATCCAACAAGAAGATCTAACAATTGTAAGTATCTATGCCCCTAACATGGGAGCAGCCAATTATATAAGCCAATTAACAAAAAGAAACACACTGACAACAGTACAATAATAGTGGGGGACTTTAACACCCCCGTCACTGAAATGGACAGATCATCTATGCAAAAGATCAACAAGGAAATGAAGACTTTAAATGACATACTGGACCAAATGGACTTCACAGACATATTCAGAACATTCCATCCCAAAGCAACGGAATACACATTCTTCTCCTAGTGCCCATGGAACATTCTCCAGAATAGATCACATCCTAGGTCACAAATCAGGTCTCAACTGGTACCAAAAGATTGGGATCATTCTCTGCCTATTTTTGGACCACAATGCTTTGAAACTAGAACTCAGTCATAAGAGGAAAGTCAGAAAGAACTCAAATACATGGAGACTAAAGAGCATCCTACTGAAGAATGAATGGGTCAACCAGGAAATTAAAGAAGAATTAAAGAAATTCATGGAAACCAATGAAAATGAAAACACAATTGTTCAAAATCTTTGGGCTGCAGCAAAGGCAGTCCTAAGAAGAAAGTATATAACAATACAAGCCTTTCTCAAGAAACAAGAAAGGTCTCAAATACACAACCTAACCCTACACCTAAAGGAGCTGGAGAAAAAACAGCAAATAAAGCCTAAACCCAGCAGGAGAAGAGAAATAAAAAAGATCAGAGCAGAAATCAATGAAATAGAAACCAAAAGAACAGTAGAACAGATCAACGAAACTAGGAGCTGGTTCTTGGAAAGAATTAACAAGATTGATAAACCCCTGGCCAGACTTAACAAAAAGAATATAGAAATGACCCAATCAACAAAATCATGAATGAAAGAGGAGACATCACAACCAACACTAAAGAAATACAAACAATTATAAGAACATATTATGAGCAACTCTATGCCAGCAAATTAGATAACCTGGAAGAAATGGATGCATTCCTAGAGATGAATCAACTACCAAAACTGAACCAGGAAAAAACAGAAAACCAGAACAGACATACAACCACTAAAGAAATTGAAGCAGTCATCAAAAATCTCCCAACAAACAAAAGCCCAGGGCCAGATGGCTTCCCATGGGAATTCTACCAAACATTTAAAGAAGAATTAATACCTATTCTTCTGAAAGTGTTCCAAAAAATAGAAATGGAAGGAAAACTTCCAAACTCATTTTATGAGGCCATCATTACCTTAATCCCCAAACCAGACAAAGACCCCATCAAAAGGGAGAATTACAGACCAATATCCTTGATGAACATGGATGCAAAAATTCTCACCAAAATACTAGCCAATGGGATCCAACAGTACATTAAAAGGATTATTCACCACGACCAAGTGGGATTGATCCCTGGGCTGCAAGGTTGGTTCAACATCCACAAATCAATCAACGTGATACAATACATTAACAAGAGAAAGAACAAGAATCATATGATTCTCTCCATAGATGCCGAAAAAGCATTTTACAAAGTACAGCATCCTTTCTTGATCAAAACTCTTCAGAGTATAGGCATAGAGGGTACATACCTCAATATCATAAAAGCCATCTAAGAAAAACCCACAGCGAATATCATTCTCAATGGGGAAAAACTGAGAGCTTTCCCCCTAAGGTCAGGAATGTGGCAGGGATGTCCACTATCACCACTGCTATTCAACATAGTACTTGAAGTCCTAACCACAGCAATCAGACAAGAAAAAAAAATCAAAGGCATCCAAATCGGCAAAGAAGAAGTCAAACTCTCACTCTTTGCAGATGATATGATACTTCATGTGGAAAACCCAAAAGACTCCACCCCCAAACTGCTAGAACTCATAAAGGAATTCAGTCAAGTGGCAGGATATAAAATCAATGCACAGAAATCAGTGGCATTCCTATACACCAACAACAAAACAGAAGAAAGAGAAATTAAGGAGTCGATCCCATTTACAATTGCACCCAAAACCATAAGATACCTAGGAATAAATCTAACCAAATTGGCAAAGGATCTGTACTCAGAAAACTATAGAATACTCATGAAAGAAATTGAGGAAGACACAAAGAAATGGAAAAACGTTCCATGCTCATGGATTGGAAGAAGAAATATTGTGAAGATGTCAATGCTACCTAGAGCAATATACACATTTAGTGCAATCCCTGTCAAAATACCATGCACTTTTTTCAAAGAAATGGAACAAATAATCCTAAAATTTGTATGGAACCAGAAAAGACCTCGAATAACCAGAGGAATGTTGAAAAAGCAAAGCAAAGCTGGTGTCATCACAATTCTGGACTTCCAGCTCTATTACAAAGCTGTCATCAGCAAGACTGTATGGTAGTGGCACAATAACAGACACATAGATCAATGGAACAGAATAGAGAGCCCAGAAATGGACCCTCAACTCTATGGTCAACTAATCTTTGACAAAGCAAGAAAGAATGTCCAATGGAAAAAAGACAGTCTCTTCAACAAATGGTGTTGGGAAAATTGACAGCCACATGCAGAGAATGAAACTGGACCATTTCCTTACACCACACACAAAAATAGACTCAAAATGGTTGCAAGACCTCAATGTGAGACAGGAGTCCATCAAAATCCTAAAGGAGAACACAGGCAGCAACCTCTTTGACCTCAGCCGCAGCAACTTCTTCCTAGAAACATGGCCAAGGGAAGGGAAGCAAGGGCAAAAATGAACTATTGGGACTTCATCAGGATAAAAAGCTTTTGCACAGCAAAAGAAACAGTCAACAAAACCAAAAGACAACCGACAGAATGGGAGAAGACATTTGCAAATGACATATCAGTTAAAGGGCTAATATCCAAAATCTATAAAGAACTTATCAAACTCAACACCCAAAGAACAAATGATCCAATCAAGAAATGGGCCGAAGACATGAACAGACATTTTTCCAAAGAAGACATCCAAATGGCCAACAGACACATGAAAAAGTGCTCAGCATCTCTTGGCCAAAGGGAAATCCAAATCAAAACCTCATTGAGATACCACTTCACACCAGTCAGAATGGCTAAAATTAACAATTCAGGAACCGACAGATGTTGGCGGGGATGTGGAAATAAGGGAACCCTCCTACACTTTTGGTGGGAATGCAAGCTGGTTCAACCACTCTGGAAAACAGTATGTGGGTTCCTCAAAAAGTTGAAAATAGAGCCACCATACGATCCAGCAATTGTAGTACTGGGTATTTACCCCAAAGATACAAATGTAGCAATTCAAAGGGGTACGTGTACTCCAATGTTTATAGCAGCAATGTCCACAATAGCTAAACTGTGGGAAGAGCCAAGATGTCCATCGACAGATGAATGGATAAAGAAGAGGTGGTATATATATACAATGGAATATTATGCAGCCATAAAAAAGAATGTGATCTTGCCATTTGCAACAATATGGATGGAACTGGAGGGTGTTATGCTGAGCGAAATAAGTCAATCAGAGAAAGACATGTATCATATGACCTCACTGATATGAGGAATTCTTAATCTCAGGAAACAAACTAAGGGTTGCTGGAGTGGTGGGGGGGTGGGAGGGATGGGGTGGCTGGGTGATAGACACTGGGGAGGGTATGTGCTATGGTGAGTGCTGTGAACTGTGCAAGACTGTTGCATCACAGATCTGTACCTCTGAAACAAATAATTCAATATATGTTAAGGAAAAAAAAAAAGAAGAAGACGATAGCAGGAGGGGAAGAATGAATGGGGGGAAATCGAAGGGGGAGTTGAACCATGAGAGATGACGGACTCTGAAAAACAAATTGAGGGTTCTAGAGGGGAAGGGGGTGGGAGGATGCATTAGCCTGGTGATGGGTATTAAAGAGGGCACGTTCTGCATGGAGCACTGGGTGTAATGCACAAACAATAATCATGGAACACTACATCAAAAACTAATAATATAATGTATGGTGATTAACATCACAAAAAAAATTAAAAAAAACTTCTGAACAATGAAGGAAGCAATTAGCAAAACTAAAAGGCGAAGATATTTGCAAATGACATATCTGATAAAGGGTTAGTATCCAAAATATAGAAAGAACTTATAAAACTGAGCACCTGGAAAGTGAATAATCCAATTAAAAATGGGCAGAAGACATGAATGTACATTTTTCCAAAGAAGACTACAGATGGCCAACATGTATGAAAAGATGCTCAACATCACTCATCATTAGGGAAATACAAATCAAAGCCACAATGAGATACCACTTCACACCTGTCAAAATGGCTAAAATAAAATACAAAAACCCACAAGAAATAACCGGTGCTGGTAAGGATGTGGAGAAAGGGGAACCCTCTTGCACCGTTGGTGGGAATGCAAACTGATGCAGCCACTCTGGAGAACAGTATGGAGATTCCTCAAAAAGTTAAAAATAGAGCTACCCTATGAACCAGCAATTGCACCACTAGGTATTTTCTCAAAGTATACAAAAATACTAATTCAAAGGGATACATGTACCCTGATATTTATAGCAGCCTTATTTACAATAGCCAAGATATGGAAGCAGCCCAAATGTCCCTTGATAGATGAATGGATAAAGAAAAGGTAGCATGTATATTACTCAGCCATAAAAAGAATGTAATCTTGCCAATTGCAATGACATGGATGGAGCTAGAGAGTATAATGTTAAGTAAAATAAATCAGAGAAAGACAAATACCATATGATTTCACTCATATGTGGAATTTAAGAAAGAAAACAAATGAACGGAGGGGAAAAAAGAGAGAGAGAGGCAGACCAAGAATTAGACTCTTAAGTATAGAGAACAAACTGATGGTTACCAGAGGGGAAGTGGGTGGGGGGATGGGTGAAATAGGAGATGGGGATTAAGGAGGGCACTTGTGATGAGCACTGGGTGTTGTATGGAATTGCTGAATCACTATATTGTACACCTGAAACTAATCTTACACTGTATGTTGACTAACTGGAATTTAAGTGAAAACTTAAAAATAATAATAAAAAAATAAAAAAGAAAAATGTCAATGTATTTATGAAAGAGACTATCAGTGCTTCTTAAACCAATATAGTGAATAATAGAAAGAAGGGCATTGAGAATTAATCATCTTAAGTACCATATATTGTAAGAAATCAGGAAGAAAATGATAAGAAAAACAAAACAAAACTGATGGCAAAGCTAACAGTACAACTTATATAAATAGGTAGGAATATGAATAGTCATACTTATATAAATAGGTAGGTTTAACTGCACTACACATCTAGTTTTAATTAAACAACTGCCAGCATTAAAAGTGATTCTATAATGAATCAAAAAAATTAACAAAAATGGGAAAGATTTGATTATGCAAAAATTGTTTGGTAAAATACATAAATATATAAATGATTTTATATATTTAGATATAAATTTTATATATTTTAAATTTTATATATTTAGAAACCTAAAGGATTCTTTCTCATGACTTTGATGACAATTATATTTAATGGATTGTTTTGAAAATTGAAACTAGAATTTTAGTTTGCATACTGTCCTCACCTACACACCGGGGTAGAGAACTCCATTTTCCCATCTGGCATGTTATCTCATCTTTTTCAGATATCCTGAAACCATCCTCACAAGTGTAATTTAACTTGCTGCCATGTGGGTAAAGCTTAGGTTTCAATGATCCTTCTATTTCTTCTGAAAATTCACATGATTTAATGGTTCCATGTTCTATACGAGGTGGTTGAGGACACGCAAGTTTTTCTAAATGAAGAACAGAGATCAAAGGGTCAAGTATAGATACAATGTTTAAATTCGAAAATGCAATCAAATGCCATTTGGGATTTTAAAATAAGGATAATTTGAACAAATTAAATTAATGAAAAACTGAAAAACATTTAAACTTGCAAGCATATATGTCTCCATAAAATCTATGCTATTATCTACTTGTTCACTATGCCCCTTCATTCTTGTCCTGTTCATCATGAGGAGTAAAATAGACACAAACAGAAATTTTCTCTGGTATTTGCACAATAACCTGAAGTTTTTGTCTGTTCATTTCACAGTAGAAGTGAAAGAATGCTGATTGATTTGTATACTTAGTTTGTAATTTACTGTTTCAAGGTAAAGTGAAATAGGTATAGAGAAAGGTCTTCATCTTGTTCCTTTTCGCAAAGCACAGGGGCTTATTAAGCTCATTTGAAAGAATGTTATGAAGCAAGTTATGCAGTACTGACCAACACAGCGTGGTATTGACTGCCATCTTCCATCTTTGCACACAATTTCTTCTGCATCCTGAAGTATATAATTGTCTTGACAGACAACAGATACTTTTTCTCCATCCTGATAATTCACCGTCGTTGCCATATTTTGAGCATTGGGAATCTGAGGTGGAGGGGGGCATGACTGCGTTCGAACTTCTAAAAATATTAAAATTTAGATTTCTTGATTAAAAATCATAAGTTAAACATATTAAAAAGACAATTAAACAAAACTCAATAATAATGTATCATTAATGATCAAATAATGACATTATGTTCTATATTTAAACATGTTACACTCTTCGGCTTGTAGAGCACTTTAATATATCACATGTGGTTTATATTCTCACCATGTTGCTCGTAGTATCTTCCTTTTATTCTTTCTGTGACAAATCTTGCTTAATTTATGTAAAACTTATTTTAATGGTTTCTAACCATTAGGATGTTCTGAGTTGTTCACTCAGTAAGAGGCACTAAATAAATACTGATATCAGGATTTTGTTTACAGATATCCATAATCAAATGTATTGTGATTGGATTTAAACCCTCACTAGGTGTGGAATGGAAACTAATTAGTCAGAGGAAGAATTACATGTAGTTAATGATCAATTATCTGATACAGATTCTTGGCTAACATAGGAATTAGATATGGTCACTAATATTTACAGTGTGTTGTTTAAAGTTCAAAACTCTCTGGAGGTACTGTTTACTAGCTTGCCTACACTGTTAAGAGATAGATAGGTTACCAAAATGCACCCTGTTGAACAGATCAGACAGCCTGGCTTCAGTTGCATGACCAGCAAGGGGCACAAGATTCCTCTGTAAACTCGTGTTTGAGCTCCCAGAGACCTGAGATACCGCACATGTATCGTGGCAGCTCATAATCTGAAGACAAAGCATGTCTTGTTCAACTGAGGGAAGACTTTGGACGGCTGTGCCTGGAGGCTTTTGGATCTCTCTATGATTCCTTGATTTTGCTTTCTCCTGTCGTGCATTTATTTCATTAAAGGTCTTATGTGAGTGTACACTGGGAAGTCTTGTAAGTCCTTTCAGTTACTCAAGATTTTATAGTCAATTCAGAGAAATATTTGACTGAATACACTTCATTCATGCTTACTAATATTTTCTATTTCCATCTAAGTGTAGAAGTATTTTATATTTAATCAAAACCTTTTCTTCTTATTTGTTTTAAATATCTCGGCATTTTTTTTCAATGCATTGTCAAAGATTGAGTTTCTTCTGTATCTGATCTTTAACCATTTCACCCTAATAATCTTAATTTGTACTTCCTCTGATACATATTTGCTAAAGGTTGGTCTAAAAACTAAATTTCCCTAAAGGCAGAATTACTATTCTGCAAATCACCTGTTTATACTTTTTAAAAAAGTTTCTTTGTGTTTTTGTATTTTAATTAATTATTTGTATTTTCTTTTATTTTTGTTTTAAAAATTATTCTGTATTTTTTTTTTTTTTGCAGTTCTTTGTATAGCAATCATACCACAAAAAAGCTGTTAAAAGAGAATAACTTTATTTAGGAAAAAATAAATATTTGGAAATTAAGAAACAAAATTCAAAATAACTGATAGGTCAAAGAAGAAATCACAAGGAATATTAGAAAACATTTCACATAGAATTAAATGAAAATGAAATGTATGTAAAAATTTTGAGATATAAAAATTTTGAGACTGCTACAGCGGTACTTAGAAGGAAAAATGGAGTTTATCTTTGAAAAGCAGGATGGTTTAAACCCATGTTTTAATTTTCTACCTTAAGAAATGAAAAAATAAAATTAAAAGCAAAGTAACTAGAATGAAAAAAACAGTTTGTCCACAGAGGAGAGAAAATTGAGAAAGACAAATAGAAAAAAGAAAACAAAAAAATAGTGGTTAATAAGGTTAAAAAATAAAAGAGAGTAAATAAGGAAAATTAAGTGTTAAAATTGGCTATCTGGAAATATTAATAAAACTGAAGAAAAAAAGAAAACCTAGGAAGAATAATAAAGATGAAAGAGAAAAATAACTATCAATGTCAAGAATGAAAGAAGTGATAACAACAAAGAAACTATATAATTAAAATGAAAATAGAATATTAAGTGACTATTAGAAACAAATGTATACCAATCAATTTCATAAATTAGATAAAATAGATATTTCTTCAAAAATACAACTTCCGGGTGCCTGGGTGGCTCAGTTGGTTAAGCGACTGCCTTCGGCTCAGGTCATGATCCTGGAGTCCCAGGATCGAGTCCCACATCGGGCTCCCTGCTCAGCAGGGAGCCTGCTTCTCCCTCTGACCCTCCCCACTCTCATGTGCTCTCTCTCTCTCTCATTCTCTCTCTCAAATAAATAAATAAAACCTTTAAAAAAATACCACTTCCTTGCATTGACAAAAGACAGTAAGAAAGTCTGAATATTTCAGTACTTATTAAAGAAACGGAATTCTTCATCAAGAAAAACTTCCAAAAAAGCAAATAATATATCAGATGACTTTACAGGTGAAGTCTATCAATCATTTAAGACACAAATAATAAAATAATAATATGTGTACTAATAATATTACATTTATACTTTCAGAAAACAGAGAAGCAGAGAGCAGTCCTCAATTCGTTTTATGAGGCCATGATAATCCTAACAACAAAACTTGGGAGAGGCATTAAAAGAAAAAGTAACTATAGATTAATATTCCCCCTGAATATAGATGTAAAACCCCTTAAAAATATATCAGCAAATCAAGTACATGAAAATATAGAAAGAATAACCTGTCACTACCTAGTAGAGTTAACTCTAGGGAGGAGAGATGTGTTCAACATCCAAAAATGTATATATATAATTCACTGTATTAACAGAATTAAGAAAGTCATATTATCATATCGAGAGATACTTAAAAAGCATTTGAAAATGTTCGACATTGCTTGATCACAAAATTTCTCACTCCGTTAAGTAAGAATAGAAGGAAATTTCCTTAAACTGATAAGGGGCATCTACAAAAATCCTAAATTGACATTATACTTGTGGTAAAATGTTGAATATCCTCTGCCAGTGATCAGGAATAGGACAAAGTTGTATGTTCTCATCACTTCCTTTCAGCAGGTTACTGGAGGTCCAAGTCAGTGTGATAAGATAAGAAAATAAAAATAAAAAAGGACCGGCAAAAATAAAGTCTTGTATTTTCAGTGACATAATTGCTTACAGAAAATTGCAACAGATCTACACCATAATACCTAAAATGAATAATGCAACTTAGTATAGTGTCAGAGTATAAAATCAATGTGCACAAATCTAGTGTGAGGACAAATGTATAGGAAGAAACTGACCTCATCTCCTCCCAGAGACACACAGGTACATATGGAACAATTTCCTCTAAAAAAGACCTGAAAACTAGCTGAATAGCTCCTTCACAACAAACAGTAAAAGGGCCACATCGAGATGGGTAGGAGAGTCAGAGACCCAGTAGGGACAAAAGTCCCACCCCTGGCAGGGCTACACACAATCAGGTGGGATCTCACAAATCCAGAGCTTCTCCCTGAGGAGAGAGAGGTTTGTGTCCCACATCAGCACCCCAAACTCTGGGACCTGCAAAAGAAGGATGAGCCCCCCCCAACACCTGGCTTTGAAAACCAAGGGGTCTCACATCCGGAGACTCAATGGGCTGTAGAGAACGGAGATACTTTTTTTTTTTTTTTTAATATTTTATTTATTTATTTGACAGAGAGAGAGAGAGAGAGCAGGCAGAGGGAGAGGGAGAAGCAGACTTCCTGTTCAGCAGAAAGCCCGATGTGGAGCTCGATCCCAGGACCCTGAGATCATGACCCGTTTGGAAGGCGGACACCTAACCCAGCCACCCAGGCACCCCCTGAGATACTTTTCTTAAGGAGCTGGCACCCAGACCCACTCACTACCCCCAGGGGACCAAAGTGAATGGAACAGTTTGAGAAACACCTAGACCTATGAGAAGGAGAGCCATTTGCTAATCTTAAAGCATCCACTGAGGTGCAGGGGCCTGTTGGGACTCTTTCCACGACGGAGGTGTGGCAGGTGCCATTTTTACACTCGCCCTCCACCCTGAGAACCCCGGCAGGTGCACTCCAGCCCAGTGCTCTCCTGTGGCCCCATAAAAGCCAGCGGGTGTGGCCCAGCCCTGCCTTCTCCTGCTGCCTCACCAAAGCTGGCAACATGCTCGGTCCACATAGGGGACGCTCCTCGATCTCCTGGCGCTGGTGGCCAGAGGGGCTTGCCTTTCTGGCTCCCGCAGGACTATATCAATGGGGCAGGTAATTCCTGGCAGGCCACCGCCTCCAGGGCACTACACAGACAGCCAACTGAAACACACCCTCAGTCTTGCTGTGAAAAAGGCCAATTTACTTGTCCTGGAACGTTCGCTTGAGGGGCAGACTTCAGATTTGCCACACATCTGGAGGCTACAGAGGTGCTTCTCAGGGCAGGGAAACCAGAGGGCTGCCAGCTTTGTGCTCTCTTCAGCCTCAAAGAAAATCCAAACACTAATTCTTCAAGACACCTGGCTGGATGTTAATTCAAGACCACCAAGTTTCTGGGTGTTTTGTTTTATAGCGGACTAATGCACTGATGCAATTAGTATTTAGAAATAGGGTTTTGGTTAGTTTCTGTGTAGTAATACATAGGTAAATTTTTTTAGAAGCCGCAAAGATACTACTTTTATAAATTAGGAAGAAATAGAGTAAGTTTTTGAAAATATTGTAAACGAGAGCTTACCTGTGCAGTTTAGTTCGGGATCCCATCGTCCATTTATGCATGTTGAATGTTGCTGCTTTATTGTTTCTCTGCATGTATAACTTATTTTCTCATTATGGTCAAATATAATCTTACGTGATGGATTTGCTTCTTTTCTAGTCAAGCTGTATTTACACTTCTTAAGTTCATCAGTTGCTATAAAATGAAAATATTCCCTTGAAAAGACTAATTATAAGAATCAAAGCAACTACTACAAAAAATAGCTTAGAGTCAATAGTATAATGAAATTAGAATTTGAGCCCATAAACCCCACCAACCAATTTATTCCTGACCATATTGCATGAGATGGGCTCTTATGTATGAACATAAGTCCTGTGTCCAGTCTTTGAAATTTCAGAGAAAATGTCCATCATAAATGCATTCTGCACTTTGGGGATTAGAAAAGTGTAAGAGGCTCACTTTTTTGGATGATCTACATACTGAGCAGTCATCACCTGACTACATTTGGTCCCATATTTATCTGTGGAAATAGAATATATGAAGTTGCTAGTTTAAATATATTTTTTTCAATAAAGGCAATGTAATACAATAAGAAAAGTACATCTAAGATGTAGTATACAGAATATGAATACTTAAATAGATCTTTTGCATGATCACTAAAAAATAGGAACAGATTCTTGGAATTAGAAGTTGGGTGCTTAAAGCCACAACCTGTTTCCTGTTTATACTCTTACAATCTTTGAAGAGCTATTTTATATACCAGATCATCCTTATTATAATGTCATAATAGTAAATTTTTACTGACTCTGAGTTAAATATAACAACTTTCTATATAGCTACGTATTTCAAAAATTCAATGCAGATTAAAGTACTTTGTGGATTTGATAAAATATGAGTTGATGTAGGTCTTTGTTAATGATTTATTAATGATTAGCCAAAGAAGTGACGATTTTGTAATACAATAAAAAATAAAACAAAGGAGACTAATTAAAAAAACTAGAGGCTGAGAATTAGTCCTGTTTTTAGGGCTTGTCCACAGTGTTGAGGGAGACAAAACAAGGTGTTCAGGTGATGGTAACTGAAGGACGATCTATAGTCAAAAGGAGTGGTGGCGGCTGTTGTCATTGTCCTATGATTGATTGGTTTCTGAAAGAATTTCTTTGTTTATTAGGAGAAAATAAACACTCAGGGAAGAGTGAACAGCTAGACTAGTTAGAGGTACAAAATAAACACTGAGGGGCGCCTGGGTGGCTCAGTCGTTAAGCGTCTGCCTTTGGCTCAGGTCATGGTCCTGGGCTCCTAGGATGGAGCCCTAAGGCGGGCTCCCTGCTCCGCAGGAAGCCTGCTTCTTCCTCTCCCACTCCCCCTGCTTGTGTTCTCTCTCTCTCTGTCAAAATAAATAAATAAAATCTTAAAAACAAAACAAAACAAAATAAACATTGAGAGGAGAAAATTGGACTAAGGTCTATTATACCTGTAAGGGGATTATTTTAAGCTGAATATAGGTAGAAGATTAACCTTTGGAAAGCAAACTCTGAGATCAGAAGAGTAATAATGGAAGCATATATTTTAGAATAAGAGTGAAAAGTTGAGAATTTTCATGCTCGTTATAACTTTGGGTTTTTCCTCCCGTATGAAATAAGGGGAGATCATCTGTGGAGATAGAAGAGGACAAAGATTGAAGTTTGGTCTTGAAGGACTGACAATACTGCTAATGGGAATGTGTTTAGCAAAAATGTAAGGATTAATAAGCAACAAAACTTATGATTCATTCAACAAACTCCTGTTTAATATCTGCTGTGGGTCTGCCAGTCTTTTGTGTATTGGGAATACATCATGAACAAAATAGGAGTAAATCTCTGCTCTCACAGAGCATGAACCCAAGCCCTACCTTCTCCTTGGAACAATTAATGCCTAGAAATATGATGAATAAGTAAGACTGGACATCCAGGGCTCTCTTTGAATGTAAGACCTAGGAAAACTCTAGGAAAGAACTCATTCTGAGGGAAAAATGAAAGGGGCCCCCAATATTTTCCATGTTAGTCATAAAAGACTTGGTCATCCAAAGGGTCAGGATGATTTACATACATCAATCAGAGGGAAGTCCATCCATCAGATTTGTTTCCTAGCCTAACCTTGACTGTCTCCTTTGACTGAGTTCTCCTACTGACTGAGAGGGCCTGCAGCCCACCCACCCTTCAGCACATGAACTTGTTGTTGCATTTGAAACAGATTGGGAAATTGTTAGAAACTTTGAGAGAGGCAAGATTCCTATAGGAATGTAACAAGTGGGTAGTAACTTTGTTTTCCAGGACCTGAAATCAAGAGTGCCACATAAAAACAAAAGTGGTCTTTTTGCAAATATAGTTCTATTTTCTTGGTCATTAGTACTCATATTTAAATCATATGAATAACCATAAATAAAATTTAGCTTCACACTTATAAACAGTGTTAATATCAGGGACAGAAAGACTGATAAAATTCTATTGCTAATTTGTAGACATATAATGAGCTATAAGCAATGTCTACCTTCATTGTAATTTAAGAACTGACATTTTAAAATAAGATTTTATTTACTTATTTGAAAGAGAGTGAGAGAGAGCATGAGCAGGGGGAGGGTCAGAGAGAGAGGGAGCAGCAGACTCCCTGCTGAGCAGGGAGCCTGATGTGGGGGCTTAATCCCAGGACCCTGAGATCATGATCTGAGCAGAAGGTGGATGCTTACCGACTGAGCCATCCAGGTACCCCTAAGAACTGACATTTTCAAGAATATACCTAAATTTCAAATATATGTTTGCAAATACAGTTTTTGCCATAAAAATATTAAATTTCATTGACTGTCAATTTGAGAAGTTTCTTCTCACCGATGCACTGAGGAAGTGGGGTCCACTTTCCACTAATACATGTAATTGACTTGTGTCCAATCATTGTAAATTCTTCTTTGCAATTGAACTCTACTGAATCTCCATGGTGATAGGGAGGGACAGAAGACTCAACAACAGAGCCATAATGAAGTTCAGGTATATCTCCACATGTACTCTCCACCTCTGTGAAAATTTCACAAAAATATATTTATTTACAAAATGCAATTTATGTGTTTATGAATACAAAGAGTGTTGACTTATGTTTAAATATGAATATTTTTGTACATTACCAATACACATAGGCAAGTCTGTCCATTGTCCATCAACGCATTGAATTTTATTAAAACCCTTCATCAGAAATCTAGTATTGCAAACATATTCCACCAAATCATTGTGTTCGTAGATTTCTTTGTCTGTTTCTTTAACTTCCCCATTGAGGAGTTGAGGAGGTGGCGGACACCGTTTTGTTTGCTCTACAAGAGAAATACTGTGTGAATAATGGTTAAATTATCTATTTTACAACTTAAAAATTCATAAATTAGAGACTTTTTAAAAATTACTTTGTATAATTTATAATATAATTTATTATAGCCTTCTTAAACAATGGTGTTTACACCAGAAACATGTTTCCCAGTTCTATTACTTACACTGAACTAGTGTATTGGAAATATTTAAGCCCAGGAAATATGTTTAATAATCTAGGTATTCTAAGATGTATGCAAACCAATTAATAAATGTGGTTGTGTAAATTATAGCAATATTCATATTCCATGGAAACATTTTATCAAAACTGTTTGAAAAAATGCCATCGTTTGAGGCAAGCATTAGATCAAGATGTTTTAACTTTGATTAAGCCATACATGTGATTGAACTGACTATAAGTTGCTTGAATATTGTTTAGACACTCAATAAAACTTGAGGAAAGGCCCATGCTATACAAAGTGTCCAATATTATTGGTGGAACTGCAGGCAAAAGGAAAAATAACAAAAGAGTGTGAGACATCATATATGTATCTATGCATACTTCCACTACATATTTCAAGAAACAATTGGAGATTAATTGCTTAAATAAGGAAGTCTGAGGTATCTACCCCCCAGCACATGTCCTGGCTTAATGCACTAGATTATAGACACACTCAAAGCCAACAGAAATTTAAGAGGGGGGGAGGAAAGGTTGATACCCAAATCCTAATTCTTGTTTTAGCATTTGTAAGACAGATATTCACCTTTACATGTTGGAAGATTAGGGGACCATCCAAAGTGATAACACTGAACTGAGTCTGGTCCAACTCTTTTAAGTCTTTGTCTGCAGGAGAATTTCAAGAGGTCTCCAACTCTATATTTGTGTTTTCTGGGCTCAGGAACTAAGTATTCTTCTACTTCTGGAACCTTGCATTCTATTTCTATAAAAAAGGGTCAAATAATTTAGTGAGAATATATAATTAATCATCACTAAAGTAAATTTCATACGTGTCTTATAAAAATGAGGTGCTGGGTACTGCATATACAGAGGGGCATCAGATAAATCCTCCTTGAAAAATATTACATATTAGATATTACACACCTTCTAAATTCATAGGGACTCAGAAATATTAAGACATTAAATAGCAATATATGTATCCTGAAAATGTATCTGTAAGGTCAACTTGCTTATACTGGATCTGATTTTATAACTGACATTTATTTATAAAATACAATGTGATATTGTTTTGCACTCTCAAAACATAAAAGTATTCTCTCGCTTAAAAAAAGTGATGCTATGAGAGCGGCAGAGCAAGATGGCAGAGGAGTAGGAGACCTGGATTTCCTCTGGTCTCAGGAATTCAGCTGGATAGGGACAAACCATTCTGAACACCTACAAACTTAGCAGGAGATCGAAGAAAAGAATAGCAGCAACTCTCTGAACAGAAAAGTGACCACTTTCTGGAAGGTAGGACGTGAGGAGAAGTGAATCCGAGGTGATATTCGGGAAGATAGGCAGTGGGGGAGGGGGCCTCCGTCAGCCGCTTCTGGCAAGTGATAGACCCGCGGAGCAAAAATCGGAACTTTTAGAAGTCTGCTCCGCTGAGGGACGTCGCTCCAGCGGCTAAGCAGGGGGTGGAACCCTCATGGGACAATGTGGTCTCAGGACCCTCGGGGTCACAGAAAGACCAGGGGTCCCTGAGTGTGGCAGAGCTCCCAGGTATTGGAGCAGGGAAGCTGACTGCAGAGACAGAGCTGAGGCGCGGGCTCTCAGCTTGGGGTTGCCATAAACTGATCGGTGGCACAGTCGGGCCCCTGCTCCTCCAGCAGGGACCCAACAAGTGGCAGATCCGGGGAGACTCCCCTTCTTCCCTGGGAGGAGCGGTGTGGGAGTGCACCACAGGGATCTGCTGGGTTTGGAGACTCCACAAGGGGTCAGGTGCCAGAGATAGAAATGCACGGTCACAGGCCGGGTGAGCACGGAGTGCGGCCAGAGACCGGGGAGACGGGAGTGACTGACTGCTTTTCTCTGAGGGCTCACTGAGGAGCGGGGCCCCGAGTTCTTGGCTCCTCCGGGGCAGAGATTGGGAGGCCGCCATTTTCACTCTTGTCCTCCAAAGCTGTGCAGAAAACTTGCAGGGAACAAAAGCTCCTGAGCGCAAACCCAAGCAGATTACTTAGCCCGGACCAGGCAAGGGCGGGGCAATTCCACCTCCAGAAAAGACATTTGGGAACCACTGCAACAGGTCCCTCCCCCAGAAGATCAGCAAGAACAGCCAGCCAAGACCAAGTTTACCGATCAATGAGAACAGTAGAACTCCAGAGCTAGGGGAATACTGCACATAGAATCCATGGCTTTTTTCCCATGATGCTTTAGTCTTTCAAAGTTAATTTTTTTTAACTTTTTTTTTGAAATTTTCTTTTTCCCTTTTTCAACCAACATCTTACCAATCCTCCCCCCCCTTTTTAAAAGATTTTATTTATTTATTTGAGAGAGAGAGAATGAGAGACAGAGAGCACAAGAGGGAAGAGGGTCAGAGGGAGAAGCAGGCCCCCCACTGAGCAGGGAGCCTGATGTGGGACTCGATTCCGGGACTCCAGGATCATGACCTGAGCTGAAGGCAGTCGCTTAATCAACTGAGCCACCCAGGCGCCCCTTATCAATCCCTTTTTTAAAAAACATTTTTATTTTTCATTTTTAGAGTCATATTCTATCCCTTCATAGTAGTTACCCTTATTTTTGGCATATATATATAAGTTGTTCTCTCTTGAAAATTTTGATATAGTTTCTTCTAACAGACCAAAATATACCCTAAATCTCTAGTGTATAGTTTTGTTCTAGTCTCCTGCCTGATCACATTCTCTCCCTTTCTTTTTCTTTTTTTTTTTTTTTAAATCCTCTTCTTTCTTTTTTCAAACAACTTCTTATCAATTCCTTTTATAAAATTTTTTATAATTTTCATCTTTACAGTCATATTCCATCCCTTCATCATATCAACCCTTATTTTTGTATATATAAGTTTTTCTTTCTTTAAAATTTTGGGAGGCACTTTCTTCTAACTGACCCAAATACACCCAAAATCTAGTGTGTGGCACTGATCTATGCACCAGCCTGATCATATTTTATCATATTCTGGGTTTTTTTGGTTTTATTTTTGTTTGTTTTTATCTTTTTCTTTTTCTTTTTTTTTCTTTTTCTTTTCTCTTTCTTTTCCCCCAGCTTCAGGTCTTTTCTGATCTGTTTAGAGTGTATTTTCTGGGGATGTTGTTACCCTGTTAGCATTTTGTTCTCTCATTAATCTATTCTCCTCTGGACAAAATGACAAGACAGAAAAAATCACCTCAAAAAAAGAACACGAGGTAGTACCGACTGCCAGGGACATACCCAATATGGACATTAGTACGATGTCGGCTCTAGAGTTCAGAATCATCATTTTAAAGATTCTAGCTGGGTTTGAAAAAAACACGGAGGTTATTAGAGAAACCCTTCCTGGAGAAAGAAAAGAACTAAAATCTAACCAAGTCAAAATCAAAAAGGCTATTAATGAGGTGCAACAAAAATGGGGGCACTAACTACTAGGATAAATGAGGCAGAAGAGAGAATCAGTGATATAGAAGACCAAATGATGGAAAATCAAGAAGCTGAGAAAAAGAGAGATAAACAACTACTGGATCACGAGGGCAGAATTCGAGAGATAAGCGATACCATAAGAGGAAACAGCATTAGAATAATTGGGATCTCAGAAGAAGAAGAAAGAGAGAGAGGAGCAGAAGGTATATTGGAGCAAATTATAGCAGAGAACTTCCCTAATTTGGGGAAGGAAACAGGCATCAAAATCCAGGAGGCACAGAGAACCCCTCTCAAAATCAATAAAAATAGGTCAACACCCGGACATCTAATAGTAAAACTTACGAGTCTCAGAGACAAAGAGAAAATCCTGAAAGCAGCTTGGGAGAAGAGATCTGTAACCTACAATGGTAGAAATATTAGATTGGCAACAGACCTATCCACAGAGACCTGGCAGGCCAGAAAGGACTGGCATGATATATTCAGAGCACTAAATGAGAAAAATATGCAGCCAAGAATACTCTATCCAGCTAGGCTGTCATTGAAAATAGAAGGAGAGATAAAAATCTTCCAGGACAAACAGAAACTAAAGGAATTTGCAAACACGAAACCAGCCCTACAAGAAATATTGAAAGGGGTCCTCAAAGCAAAGAGAGAGCCTAAAAGCCACATAGACCAGAAAGGAACACAGACAATATACAGTAACAGTCATCTTACAGGCAATACAATGGCACTAAATTCCTATCTTTCAATAGTTACCCTGAATGTAAACGGGCTAAATGCCCCAATCAAAAGACACAGGCTATCAGATTGGATTAAAAAACAAGACCCATCAATATGCAGTCTGCCAGAGACTCATTTTAGACCCAAAGGCACCCCCAGGTTGAAAGTGAGGGGGTAGAAAACCATTTATGATGCTAATGGACACCCAAAGAAAGCTGGGGTGGCAATCCTTAGATCAGACAAATTAGATTTTAAACCAAAGACTGTAATAAGAGATGAAGAAGGACACTATATCCTACTTAAAGGGTCTATCCAACAAGAAGATCTAACAATTGTAAGTATCTATGCCCCTAACATGGGAGCAGCCAATTATATAAGGCAATTAATAACAAAAGGAAAGAAACACATTGACAACCATACAATAAGAGTGGGAGACTTTAACACCCTTCTCACTGAAATGGACAGATCATCTAAGCAAAAGATCAACAAGGAAATGAAGACTTTATATGACACACTGGACCAAATGGATTTCACAGATATAGTCAGAACATTCCATCCCAAAGCAACAGAATACACATTCTTCTCTAGTGCCCATGGAACATTCTCCAGAATAGATCACATCCTAGGTCACAAATCAGGTCTCAGCTGGTACCAAAATATTGAGATCATTCCCTGCCTATTTTCAGACCACAGTGCTTTGAAACTGGAACTCAATCACAAGAGGAAAGTCAAAAAGAACTCAAATACATGGAGGCTAAAAAGCATCCTACTAAAGAATGAATGGGTCCACCAGGAAATTAAAGAAGAATTAAAAAAATTCATGGAAACCAATGAAAATGAAAACACAACTGTTCAAAATCTTTGGGATGCAGCAAAGGCAGTCCTAACAGGAAGGTATATAGCACTACAAGCCTCTCTCAAGAAACAAGAAAGGTCTCAACTACACAACCTAACCCTACACCTATAGGAGCTAGAGAAAGAACAGCAAATAAAGCCTAAACCCAGCAGGAGAAGAGAAATAATTAAGATCAGAGCAGAAATCAATGAAATAGAAACCAAAAGCACAGTAGAACAGATCAACGAAACCAGGAACTGGTTCTTGGAAAGAATTAACAAGATTGATAAACCCCTGGCCAAACTTATCAAAAAGAAAAGAGAAATGACCCAAATCAACAAAATCATGAATGAAAGAGGAGACATCACAACCAACATCAAAGAAATACAAACAATTATAAGAACATATTATGAGCAACTCTATGCCAGCAAATTAGATAATCTGGAAGAAATGGATGCATTCCTAGAGATGTATAAACTACCAAAACTGAACCAGGAAGAAATAGAAAACCTGAACAGACCTATAACCACTAAGGAAATTGAAGCAGTCATCAAAAATCTCCCAACAAACAAAAGCCCAGGGCCAGATGGCTTCCCATGGGAATTCTACCAAACATTTAAAGAAGAATTAATACCTATTTTTCTGAAAGTGTTCCAAAAAATAGAAATGGAAGGAAAACTTCCAAACTCATTTTATGAGGCCACCATTACCTTAATCCCCAAACCAGACAAAGACCCCATCAAAAGGGAGAATTACAGACCAATATCCTTGATGAACATGGATGCAAAAATTCTCACCAAAATACTAGCCAATGGGATCCAACAGTACATTAAAAGGATTATTCACCACGACCAAGTGGGATTGATCCCTGGGCTGCAAGGTTGGTTCAACATCTGCAAATCAATCACGTGATACAATACATTAACAAAAGAAAGAACAAGAATCATATGATTCTCTCCATAGATGCCGAAAAAGCATTTGACAAAGTACAACATCCCTTCTTGATCAAAACTCTTCAGAGTATAGGCATAGAGGGTATATACCTCAATATCATAAAAGCCATCTATGAAAAACCTACAGCGAATATCATTCTCAACGGGGGAAAACTGAGAGCTTTCCCCCTAAGGTCAGGAACATGGCAGAGATGTCCACTATCACCACTGCTATTCAACATAGTACTTGAAGTCCTAACCACAGCAATCAGACAAGAAAAAGAAATCAAAGGCATCCAAATCGGCAAAGAAGAAGTCAAACTCTCACTCTTTGCAGATGATATGATACTTCATGTGGAAAACCCAAAAGACTCCACCCCAAAACTGCTAGAACTCATAAAGGAATTCAGTCAAGTGGCAGGATATAAAATCAATGCACAGAAATCAGTGGCATTCCTATACACCAACAGCAAGACAGAAGAAAGAGAAATTAAGGATTCGATCCCATTTACAATTGCACCCAAAACCATAAGATACCTAGGAATAAATCTAATCAAAGAGGCAAAGGATCTATACTCATAAAACTATAAAATACTTATGAAAGAAATTGAGGAAGACACAAAGAAATGGAAAAACGTTCCATGCTCATGGATTGGAAGAACAAATATTGTGAAGATGTCAATGCTACCTAGAGCAATCTACACATTCAATGAAATCCCCATCAAAATACCATGCACTTTTTTCAAAGAAATGGAACAAATAATCCTAAAATTTGTATGGAACCAGAAAAGGCCCCGCATAGCCAGAGGAATGTTGAAAAAGAAAAGCAAAGCTGGCGGCATCACAATTCCGGACTTCAAGGTCTATTACAAAGCTGTCATCATCAAGACTGTATGGTAGTGGCACAAAAACAGACACATAGATCAGTGGAACAGAATAGAGAGCCCAGAAATGGACCCTCAACTCTATGGTCAACTAATCTTTGACAAAGCAGGAAAGAATGTCCAATGGAAAAAAGACAGTCTCTTCAACAAATGGTGTTGGGAAAATTGACAGCCACATGCAGAAGAATGAAACTGGACCATTTCCTTACACCACACACAAAAATAGACTCAAAATGGTTGCAAGACCTCAATGTGAGACAGGAGTCCATCAAAATCCTAAAGGAGAACACAGGCAGCAACCTCTTTGACCTCAGACACAGCAACTTCTTCCTAGAAACATGGCCAAGGGCAAGGGAAGCAAGGGCAAAAATGAACTATTGGGACTTCATCAAGATAAAAAGCTTTTGCACAGCAAAAGAAACAGTCAACAAAACCAAAAGACAACCGACAGAATGGGAGAAGATATTTGCAAATGATATATCAGATAAAGGGCGAGTAATCAAAAATCTATAAAGAACTTATCAAACTCAACACCCACAGAACAAAGAATCCATTCAAGAAATGGGCAGAATACATGAGCAGACATTTTTCCAAAGAAAGATTGCTTGGCATCAGGGAAATCCAAATCAAAACCTCAATGGGATACCACCTCACACCAGTCAGAATGGCTAAAATTAACAAGTCAGGAAACGACAGATGTTGACGGGTTGTGGAGAAAGGGGAACCGTCCTACACTTTTGGTGGGAATGCAAGCTGGTACAGCCACTCTGGAAAACAGTATGTGGGTTCCTCAAAAAGTTGAAAATAGAGCTACCATACGATCCAGCAATTGTACTACTGGGTATTTACCCCAAAGATACAAATGTAGGGATCCGAAGGGGTACATGCACCCCCATGTTTATAGCAGCAATGTCCACAATAGCCAAACTATGGAGAGAGTCAAGATGTCCATTGACAGATGAATGGATAAAGAAGATGTGGTATATATATACAATGGAATATTATGCAGCCATCAAAAGAAATGAGATCTTGCCATTTGCAACGACGTGGATGGAACTGGAGAGTGTTATGCTGAGTGAAATAAGTCAATCAGGGAAAGACATGTATCATATGACCTCACTGATATGAGGAATTCTTAATCTCAGGAAAAAAACTGAGGGTTGCTGGAGTGGTGGGGGGGTGGGAGGGATGGGGTGGCTGGGTGATAGACACTGGGGAGGGTATGTGCTATGGTGAGTGCTGTGAATTGTGCAAGACTGTTGCATCACAGATCTGTACCTCTGAAACTAATAATGCAATATATATTAAGAAAAAAACAAAAAAGAAGATAGCAGGAGGGCAAGAATGAAGGGGGGGAATGGGAGGGCGAGAAGAGCCATGAGAGACGATGGACTCTGAAAAACAAACTGAGGGTTCTAGAGGGGAGGGGGGTGGGAGGATGGGTTAGCCTGGTGATGGTATTAAAGAGGACACGTTCTGCATGGAGCACTGGGTGTTATGCACAAACAATGAATCATGGAACACTACATCAAAAACTAATGATGTAATGTATGGTGATTAACATAAGAATAAAAAAGTGATGCTACAATTTTAAAATTGCACTCAAATAAGAATTGGTATTTTTGTTTAATGTAAATATAACTGGAGAACCAGAACACACACAAGGCATTTCTAATGTTGTTTAAAGTAACTATTAAAATTGCTTAATTCATAGTATATCATATTAATTATATTAGTAAAGAAATCAAACTGAATCATAAACTGAAACATGAAACAAAATAAAGAAATATGTTCAAGGCCACATAACTAGGCTTATTCTAGGTGTCCTGAATATTTATATAATATACAACTATCTATTCTTATTGAATCTATAATTTACACCTTCTATGAATAAATTATTGATTATTCTGATTCAAATTAGGAATATGTAAAATTATCCCTTCAAATTTGCCAAGTTTGTGATATTTGTGACATTCCTAAATATTATAAAAAATGCATTTTTCTTATTTGTAACCCTCCTATCTTGCTAATAAATTTATAAAATTAAAAACTGGAATTTAAATATTAGAATCATACTAAAACAAAAAACAAATCCTTTGACATATTAGAGCATTTGTAATTATTAAAACATTTTGCAGATGAGGAAGAGTGAACAAAGCTTCAAATAAGCTTGGTTGTTGCCCTAAGATACATGTTTAATCAATGATGGAATTGGAATTTAGTAAATGATGGAATTGGAATTTTATAAATGATAGAATTGACCAGGCTGACTCCACAGGATTCACTTATACTTCCTTATCCTTTAATCATTTTCTTCTCTCCACACTATGAGAAGTCATTACAAAATGTTTTCTTCTCCCTGTTGTCTGGGTCCTCCTTTTTTCTATCTACTTTGCCACCTATTTCTCTTCTGCCTGACACCTAAACATTGGAATGTTTCAGGGCCCAGTCTTGAGCTCCCTTCTCTTTCTATTCTGTATTCTTAACCAATTTGATATCATCATTTATTGGATGATATTTCCAAATATATATCTCTGACATATATATTTAACTCTGTAGTTTACATATCCAATTTTGATTGTCCATGGGCAGCTCAACCATAATATGCTCAAGTCAAAAGTCGTGATGTTCCTCCCAAAGTGCTCTTTCTCCTGTCAGCACCACCTTACAAAAAGGCATTGCCATTTACCTGCTTGCTTATGAAAAAAATTTAAAACAAGCATGTGAATCCCTTGATTATTACTCTCTCTTGCATCCAATATTTAGTAAACATCAGCTATGCTTTCTACCAACAAACTAGATCTCTAATCTGTTCTGCTTTGCATCTCGTCAGCCATCACCCTATCCCAATCCCCACACTTACTCACCCTGCATAAGATCCTGAATCTTCTCTTCTCCACCACAAGTACAACATATGAAAAAAAACTTTTCAAAAATCTAGATACAGTTATATTCTTTCTTTCCTTAAGACTTCTTTATGGCTTTTTATCAACCATAAAATTAATCTAAATGCTGACATGCCTTGAAAATAACCTGAATAATCCTTTCTTTGTCTCTTATCCAGTATCAGTTCATAAAATTCTCCCACGTCTTGAGTAGAATCCGCTCACCCTGTTATTTCTCAAATATTGTTTTGTTGTCAAAATTTTGCACATACTGTTCCCTTAGCGTGGAACACTAATCCACTCAAGTTTCCCACAGATTCAAGTCCTACTCCTCTTCCTGGAAAATAGTGGATTCCCAAACATGAAAGAGATTCATGTAATAATAGTCCACAGAACTTGTCAAAGTCAGAAAAGAAAGAGCTTTTGGGATCTGAAGAAATTAACACTCAAGGTAGAAGGTGTAAAAGCAGAAACTCAGGAGCAAAATAGCTGAGGAAATTGTAAGAAACTTTAATTTTGGTTTTCTTAACACCATACACTAAAAGAACCCCGTTTTAAATAATATGAAAGCCTGCATTTAGAGTAACAAGCACAATTACACTTTATTTACAAATCTATCATGTATATGACCCATAGGAAACATTAATGTACTGTGTACATTAGATAGATATTGTCTTTGGGCTTTAAAACACCCTGTTCTCCCAGTTTACATTAAATCAAGAGACACCTGATTTTAGTCATTATTTCTTAAAAGTGACTTTAAATAATGCAAATTTGTTCAAAATGGAATATTTTAAACACATTTTATTAATTTTGTCAATCCTGAAAACAAGAATACCTGATAAAACGGCACTTACCATAACATATTGGTTTAGGAGACCAACCATCGTTATCACACACTATGGAACCTGTGCGCCCATCTCTGCTTTCAAATCCGTCATGGCATTCATAGTCCAACTTGTCATTGAGTTTAAACCATGTGCCATTGATTTTGATTCTGGCATTCTCCAATATCGGCACGTCACAAGATTCTAATGCATAATACAATTGAAGGTTTCACTTCTAATATTATTTAATGGACAATGTAATTAAGTCTCATCCCAAGGAGGTAAAAAAAGGAGGTAAAAAAAAACTAATTTATCAATTAGTATGTACTAATAAATTATGTATCGTATTAAAAGAATCTAAGAATACCAGTGATAAATCATTGTCCAGAAAAAGTTACTCAAAGTGAAAAAAATATGTTTCTACACAGCGTTTTTCTTATCACTTGAACACTGTGAAAAATTTATTCTAAGAACACTTTTTTCAATCAATTATACTTATGTGTTTATCCCGTGCTTGTAATAAAATAGGCCATTACAGATGTATCATACTTTTTCTAGCAAAGCTGAATAGCATTTTGTGAATTAAGATGACATACTCATCAGCAGTGTGACAAATGGGCCAGATTAGTTGAATAAGATTAGTTTTCAACAATGCAAGTAAATTTTTAAACATTCTATAAAAATCTACAACATAATAATTTCTAAAGCTCATATCCTGATTTTTTTTACCAAAATATATTCCTAATGGCTGTGTATTCTTTTCTACTTACCAAGATTGAACAGAGAGATAACTCTATTGTTTATAATTTGTTATAAGGAAGTAAAGTGTTAAAAGTCTCAATTTTTGCTAACACTATACTAGAATGATGTTACTAAAGGTTTAAATAATTCATCTCAAATATTATACTGTGTTATGTAGCCAGCTACCTTAAAGCTTTAAAAAAGAAAGCAAAACTAACTAGTGAAAAAAGAGACAGAGATGTTCTCTTCTATAATAAGAGTGTTTTAATGGATAACTGATTACAATTTAATATAAAATGAGTTCGATATGGGAACAACTTTTATCATTTTTTTTCCTAAGGCTAGTGCCCATAGTAAGCATGGAAAATGAAAAAAATAAGGAAGTGGAAATGGTAGAAATGGATATTCAAATATCCACTTTACTTAAAATGATGCTAAATATCAGTGCAAAAGATCACTATGTAGCTTTGGAGTATAAGATAAACTGAGCAAATTGTTCTTAGAAAATCTTCATAAATACCTAGGGACAGGGAAATCTTTCAACACAGCTGCATTTGGTACCACCTAGAAGCATTTCTGTCTCTACTAATTAGATGTTTATGAAGATTTCCTAAGGCAGAGGATTTTTTAGAAGAGGACCTACCCTGGATTATCAAACATGTAAATTCTACAGGTTAAATTAAAATTATGCACTATGGACCCAGATCTTGACTTAAAAACATAACTTTTGTGTCTAGGAAAAAAGACTGACATAAAAGTTTAATCACCTAAAAACAGGTACATAGGCACAAAGATGTCAGCCAAAAATAAATGAGTTTATAGGAGAATACACATAAGTCTCCCTATCTAGTTTCCAAATCACAAAACGTTTAATTTAATTTAATTAATTAATTAAATCACAGGATGTTTTAAAGTGGAAGAAAACTTGAAAGATAGACTGATATTCCACCCTACAAGTGATTAATCTTAATAGTAAAAAAAATTATATATTTTTTCATTTATCTTTTCAAATGGGAACCACCTCAGCCCCTCCCCTTCAGAAAAGATTTAAGTTAAAATAAACTTTTGCACAACGATCATGAGGAAAATGAATATGAACATAAAATTACTCACTAATACATGAGGGTTGAGGTGACCATCCACTTTGCAGACATGTAATTGATCCTGAAGTTTTACCATCTGGTGTTACATATCCTGGTTTACACTGATACTGTGTTTCTTTATTCAAGGGATATGCAAATTCATATTCAGAAAAAAATCCATTTTCGATTGTTATATCTGATTTTAAACATCTTTCTGAAAGGGAGACAGTATAAGGAAAAGATAAGCGTGTAAATAAGCATTTTTATTAAGACTCAAATAATATAACAATATAAAAAATAAGGAGTCATTTATAAATGAAAACCCAGAAAATCCAAATCACCCAAATTCTTGTGACAGAGAAAATAAGCTATGAGTTTCCAAAGATATTAAGTCAGGATAGTTCATTAAAATTTTTTTTTTTTGGAATGAAGAAGCAAAATTTAGAATGCTCAGAATCCCTTCTAGGAAATTATTAGAAATTTATTTGTCTAATGGATCTGGAATCCTACAGCATGCCAGAACGATACCAGCAATGGATCCTTTCCAGGCACTTGTTTTAAATATTGTGTACTCAGGATCTCTTTAGCAACCCCAGCATTCAGTTAACTAATTGGGTTATCTTAGATCAGGTGATGATCTCAGAGAATTTACTACCATAGCTACCACAGCTCTGAGAATTTGACATGTCTGTCATCATAACTGGGTGTTTAAAACCATATGGATACATGGAGTTCGATGGATCTGACACAGATCAACACATTACATTCATTTATCTTCTAAGACCAAAATGATGATCCTCAAATTATGTATAACTTAACTTGAAACAATAAAGAAGACTCTGTCAGTTACCAGGTCTCTTCACAAAATTCAGCTTTATTGACTAGCCCATGGATAAAGAAGAAATCAAAGGAGAAAACATGAAATATATATTTTTTCATAACTGGTAATTTTATTCCTTCACTTAGGGCACCTAGTAGACTGGACATGGGATACTTGGAATATTAAACACTCAGGATATGGAATTAAAGTATATAATCTTTAAAAGAAAAAAAAAAACATTAAAGCAGCGCCTGGGTGGCTCAGTCGGTTGAGCATCTGACTTTTGTTCTCAGCTCAGGTCTCGATCTCAGGGCTGCGAGTTCAAGCCTGGTGTTGGGCTCCACACTGGGTATGGAGCTTACTTAAAAAATAAAAAATAAATAAATAAAAAGATATTAAGTCTTTTGAATTAAATGATAAAAAAACATTTTAAATAAAATTTTGTAAGATGATACTAAAGTAGTGCTGAGAGGGAAATTTTACCATTATATAGATATAATAGAAAAGAATAGGGGCGCCTGGGTGGCTCAGTTGTTAAGCGTCTGCCTTTAGCTCAGGTCATGATCCCGGGGTCCTGGGATCGAGCCCTGCATGGGGCTCCCTGCTCCACGGGAAGCCTGCTTCTTTCTCTCCCACTCTCCCTGCTTGTGTTCCTGCTCTTGATGTGTCTCTCTCTGTCAAATAAATAAATAAATAAAATCTTAAAAAAAAAAAAGAAAGAATAGACTATATATCACCTCACTGTTTTGCTTTAAGAAATTAGAAAAAGAAAACCCAGCATGGGCATAAACTTGAAAAATAGACTGTTGTTAGTGAGATGGTGGAATAGGATGTTTTATTATTCTCTATTTGATTTATTTCTGTTCTAATCTTTATTATTTCCTCCCTTCTAACTTCGGGCTTGGTCTCTTTTTCTAGTTCCTTGAGGTAAAAAGTTAGGTTGTTTATATAAGATTTTCTATTTTAATGTAGGCATTTGTTACTGAAAACTTCCCTCTTCCCACTGCTTTTGCAGCATCTATAAATTTTGTTACATTGTGTTTTTGTTTTCATTTGTCTCAAGATATTTTTAAAAATTCTCTTGCGCTTTCTTCTTTGACCCAATTGTTTGAGAGTGTGCTGTTTTCTTTCCATGTATTTGTGAATTTTCCCATTCTTTTTGCTGTTACTGATTTCTAGTTTTACTCCATTGTGGTTGAGAAAGATACTGTATGGAATCTTTCATGTGCAGTCGAGGAGAATGTACACTGTTGGGTGGAAAATTCTGTATATATCTATTAGGTCCATTTTGTTTATATTGTTGTTCAAATCTAGAGCTTCTTTCCTGAATTTCTGTCTGGGTGTTCTATCCATTATTCAAAGTGGGGTAATGAAGTCTCCTAATATTACTGTATTGCTGTCAATTTCTCCTCTTTAGATCTGTCACTATTTGCTTTATATATTTAGGAGTTCCAATGTTGGATCCATGTATGTTGAAAATTGCTACATCTTCCTGTTGAATTGACTCTTTTATTATTATATAATGACCTTCTTTGTCTCCAGAGACAGTTTTAGACATAAAGTCCATTTCTTTTTCTGATAGAAGTATAGCCATTCCAACATTCCCTGGTTGCCATTCACATGGAATATCTTTTTCCATTCCTTCACTTTTAGCCTATTGTGTCTTTAAACCTAAAGTGAGTTGTTTTTTACCTATTCAGGTACTGTATTCCTTTTAATAGGCAAGTTTAATCCATCTATATTTAAAGGGATTATTGATAGGTGAACACTCACTATTCACATTTGGCTAATTGTCTTCTGTTTTGCAATTGTTTTTCAATCTCTTCCACTTTTGATGACTTCCTTTGCTATTTGATTATGTTTTACAGTTACTTACTTTGATTTTTATCTCCTTATCTTTTGTATGTCTATTATAGGTTTTCCTTCCTACTTTATTGAAGTATAATTGATAAAATTGTATCTATAAAGTGTACAATGGAATGACTTGGTACACATATACATTTGGAAATGATTTTCAAAATCGCATTAATCACCTCACATACTTTTTTTTTTGTAGCTGGAATGCTTACGATCTACTCTCCCCACAAACTTGAGCTATACAATACATTATTACTAACTACAGTCATCATGCTGTACATTAGATCTTCAGAATTATTCATCTTATAGCCTTGGACCAGCATCTCCTCATTCCCCACATCTGCAAGCCCCTGATAATTACCATTCTACTCTCTGCTTCTATGAATTTGACCTTTTCTTTTTTTCTTTTTTGACTTTATATACAAGTTTAATCATGAAGTGTTTGTCTAACTCTGGCTTATTATGTTTAACATAATGTCCTCTAGGTTCAACAATGTTGTAAATAGCAAGATTTTCTTTTTTCTCATGGTTGGATAATATTCCATTATATATATATATATAATCTCACATCTTCCTTAACCATTAATGGACACTTAGGTTGTTTCTATATGTTGGTTATTGTGAATAAAGCTACAATGAACAGGAGGGTGCAGATATTTCTTCAAGATACTGATTTCATTTCCTTCAGATATATACCCAGAAATGGGATTGCTGTATAATATGGTAGTTTTATTAAATTTTTGAGGAACTTGCATATTATTTTCCATATGCCTATAACAAATTACATTCCCACCCTAAGCATACAAGAGTTTCCTTTTTCCACATTCTCACCAACACTTGTTATCTCTTGTCTTTTTGATAAAAGCCATTTTAACAGGTATGAGGTGATAGTTCATTGTGGTTTTGATTTGCATATGCCTGATGATTAGTGATTTTGAGTACCAATTGGCCATTTACATGTATTCTTCAGAAAAATGTCTGTTCAGATCTTTGCCCATTTTTAATTGGATTGGATTTTTTTTGCTATTGAGTTGTATAAGTTGTGATATATATCACAACTTATAGTGCATCAGATCTATGGTTTGCAAATATTTTCTCCCATTCCATAGGTTGCCTTTTCATTTTGTTGATTTGTTGAGTAGAAGCTTTTTCATTTGATATAGTTTTGTTTACTTCAGCTTTTGCTGTCTGTGTTTTGATGTCATATCCAAAAAATATCATCGCCAAGACCAATGTCAAGAAGATATTTTCCTATGTATCTTCTAAGACTTCTAGAGTTTAGAGTCATATTTAAGTCATCTAGAGTTAATTTTCATCAGTGGTTTAATATTGTGGTTTCATTTTTTTTACTTGTGCTGAAGACGCTACTTTCCTCATGTGTATACTTGGCACCATTATCTAATTTTAATTAAGGATATATGTGTGACTTTATTTCTGGCTCCTAATTTTATTCCATTGATCTGCCAGTATGATATTATTTTCATTTTAATCACTTTATAATATAGTTTGAAATCAGAAAGCATGATGCCTTCAGCTTTGCTCTTCTTTCTCAAGATTGCTTTGGCTCTTTGGGAGTCTTTGTGGTTCCATGTAAATTTTAGGATGGTTTATTCTACTTCTGGGAAAAATGCCAGTGCGTCTTGACAGGAATTGTATCTATTGATTGCTTTGGGTAGTATGCACATTTTAACAATATTAATTCTTCCAATCCATGAACATAGACTATCTTTCCATTTATTTATATCTTCTTCAATTTATTTTATCATTGTCTTACTGTTTTTAGGATACAAGCCTTTCATCTCCTTGAGTAGATTTATTCCTAGGTATCTTATTATTTTTGATGCTATTGTAAATGGTATTGTTTTTTAAATTTCTCTTTCTGATAGTTCATTATTCATTACACAACAGATTTTTGTGTATTGATATTGTATCCTGCAACTTTACTGACTTCATTTATTAATTCTAACAGGTTTTTTTTTTTTTTTTTTGTGTGTGTGTGTGTGTGTAGTCTTAGGGTTTTCTCTATATATGTCATCTACAAACAGAGATAATTTTACTTCTTTATTTTTTATTTGGGTACCTTTTATTTCCTTTTGTTCAACAGTGGTGAAAATGTGTATCCTTGTCTTTTTCCTGACCTTGAGGAAAAGCTTTCAGCTTTTCACCATTATGTATGATGTTAGTTATAGGCTTCTTATTTATGGCCTTTATTATGTTGAGGTATATTTCTTCAACACCTAATTGTTGAGAGTTTTTATCATAAATGGATTGTGAATTGTGTCAAATGCTTTTTCTCTATCTATTGGGATGATTATATGATTTTTAACCTTTGTATTGCTAATGGGGTTTATCACATTACTGATTTGCATCTGTTGAACCATCCTTGAGGCCCATGGATAAACCCAACTTCATTATGGTGTATGAATCTTTTAATATGCTGTTGAATTCAGTTTGCTAATATTTTGTTAAGCATTTCTGATCTATCATTTATCAGTGATACTGGCCTATAAATTTTTTTTTCTTGTAGTGTCCTTGTC